TCTTTTTTTTTTTTTTTCCCTTTCTTTCTTTCTTTTCTTTTCTCACCCTTTCCTCTTCATGTCTCTTTTTCTTCCGTGCGCATTGCATCGGTGGCTTAGTAGGGGACAATACAGTGGTGGTACGGACAGTGAGGTGGCACTGACCCAGGATGCCGATCAGGCGTACGCTGCTCATCGTAATTCCCGCCTTCTTTTTTTTTTTTTTTTGCCTTGATTAATAGAAACAATAAATTTCCAGCCTCTTCAAACCTGCACTGAACCTAATCCGTCAAGGTTCGGACCATTTCCAGGGCTAGACCGACGGTGTCCACTAGTGTGTTGCGTGCCTGGACGATTGTGGGGGTTTGGCTTTCCTTTTGCCTGCCGGTGCGTGGCCTTTATTCTGCTTGCAACGACAAAGAGAATGACTTAACCGCCGGCACCCCCCAGTTGGGTTTTGTCACTCGCGTGTGAAGAACGCTTGTTCTTTCTCTTCTGCCTATTTTTAATTTCCAATGCATGACCGAAAGGGACAGGAGCATTGAATGGGCAGGTGTGTAACTCTGATTCCGTCTCCCGAGGCATGTAAGTAAGTATACTAACTAACTACTACTACTACGTTGTACATCCGTACGGGATGTACAGGATGTATGGATGGATTTTGGTACAGTACAATATACTCCGTACCCGTGGACTGTAAAGTCGGTAACATAAGCATAGTCATCCCACGATTATCAGAGAAAGTACTCAGGACTAAGAAAAGGAAGAAGGAAAATAAGCCAAATCAGCGACCCATCGTCAGATTGCATTTTTGGCCCCCTTTTTGGTTCTTTTCTCACGCTACATCCATCCACTCTTCTCATCTATGGTCGCATCAATGCCTCTTTTTACTCATCTGCCGGGCGCCCGTTACTATAATTACGTCGGATGTCTGCCCTAAGCCTCCTTTAGCCGGAACTTAGTCAAACAACAATGGACATGAACCTCGTTTGGAAGAGTTCTGTCCTCGGGAGTCACCTTCTACGGTTCTACCTCCGTCATAGTATCTTTACTAGATAGCGATCTAGTCATAGGCCAAGAAAGACTAGGCTGAACTGCGCCCAGTCGGTCTTCAACCCACGTGCGATCCTCTTTTCGTGATGGACGGTTAGAATGTTGATCCTCCATTTCCCCCCCTTCCCCTCACCTTCTCTCTCTCTTTCTCTCTCTCTCGCATAAGACAAATTTACCACTGTCGAGAAGGAATGAATGAGGGCAGTGTCGTCCAAAATTCCCAGCCCTGACATACCCGGAATGTGACAAGCGAACCAGTCAGAATCATCCGCGAACCAACGGGGCTCACGTCAAGGCTGAAACACTTTTGCCCATTGACTGCGTTCCCCTCCTTGTCTCAGCAGAACCGAGCCAGAGAAGGGGGAAAAAAAAAAAAAAAAAAAAGAAAAGAAAAGAAAAGAAAACAACGCGCTATCGCACATTCCACACAATCCCAATAAGGCAATCGTGTCTTTCTTTTTCCCCAAAAGCACCAAAACCAGGACCAGGACCAAAAGTGATACAGGGTTGGCGTTGTTCACCAAGAATTCTCAATCGGTCTCCGTGCACCGCCGACTGACGGCTTTTCCCCTTCCCTCAGGGCTCGTTTTTGGTCCTGATCGTCGAGAGTCAATGCGTTGATAAGCCGTCCAGACTCCAGAGAGGAACTCGGATCATCGGGTGTCTTATCCCGGGCAGTGCATGGATGCATCATTGGAGGATGAGGTTCTATTTTGGCTCGGAAAGGATCCCAATCCTACATTAAATAGTCTCAATAGTTGGGAGACTTGTATAGTTTGTGACTTTGCTCCGTAGTTGGCAATCATACCTCAATTCTTGTAGGATTCTTCCTCATGTGTCCTCTTTTTTCTTTTTCTTTTTTTTTTCGATAATTCGATGTCTCCTTTTCTGGTCGCAATGCGATGTTATTTCCCCGGCCCGGCAGACCCAATGGAACGAAAGCATCAAGGAGGGACGCTAAGCCTGTTCCTGGCAAAAGCTCCACTTCTAATCCGTGGTTCATTCGTCGCTTACAGTATGGTGGTTTCAGGTTTCCCTGGCGGTCATTGGATTGGTTCCCCGTACCGTGGTATGGACGTTGTTTAATTTCATCTCCCAATTTCCACTCAGTTTGGTGGACTGCCGGTAATTGACAAACATCACACAATTAGTTACTCCTACAACATACTAAGCCATGAACCATTCCCTTAGGTACCTCCCTATGTATGTATCACTGTATGTATGTAAATATAACCCACTGGTAACAAGGGACGGAGAGTTCACCCAGAGCCGACGAAGAACTTGATCGCCCACCACAGACCCTCATCAGACGAACTCTAAGCTCCAGAGTTTGTTATCCCACAATGCGATTCTCTTACAGATGAGAACCCCCCTGAGTTCTTCTCTTCGTCACCAGGCCCGTACATTCAATCTCAACATCCGTCCCCAATGGCAACGTCTTAACAGCCACACACGTCCGAGCCTTGAGATCAGTCAACACGCGTACCCATGCCAACCCCCACGAAAAACACGTAGAAGTAAAAAAGCCAGCACTTACCGGCTTGGGATCCTGGAAAAAGCTCTCGTAGACCTCGTTCACGGCCGCAAAATCTCCCATGTCGGCCAGGAAGATATTCACCTTCACCACGTCCTGGAGACTCGAGCCACCCGCGGTGAGGACGGCGCTCAGGTTACGGAGGATTTGTTTCTAGAAAAAAAAGTCCATGAGTTACCTTTGTTTGTAGAGAAACCGAGATCATGTTCGATCTCTCTCTCCGTCGAAGGAGAACCGTACCGTTCGCTCCTGGATGGGTCCTTCGACCATCTTTCCCGTGCTGGGACTCACACCGACTTGTCCCGAGCAGTAGACCTGCTCACCGGCCACGATGGCCTGGGAGAGGAAGGATGGAGGCAATGGCGCGTCCTCTGTGCGGACGGGGGTTCTGTTTGGCTTCCACATCGTTTCTTGCGTATTTTAGTTTTCCCTGTCGTTGATCTGGGGGAGATTGGTCGATGAAGTAGTAGGTGTGAGTCTTGGCTGGACTGATAAGGCGGGGCCGCCCCACTGAGATGCGGTGAGGGTCCAGTAGAAGATAGTGATAGCGATGCCATTGCCGAGCTATCTATCAGGACATTGTCTGCAGCATGATAACCTCGGTATATCTGTAGTGAGGATAATACTAGTCGTGGGAGGTTTCCGTGGGTGGCCTTGTAGAGTATTGATATCGTGGTCAACATCGCATCTCCGGAATATATATCTCCGCCCTCCGTTATATATAACCAACTGTCATAGACACTCGCATCAACACCACAATACTGTTCAACTCCTGGATTATTAAGAAATTAGCGAGAAGATGGGATTACACACTCGGACGTTTCTTTTTGAGCTCGGATAAAAGAAATTCTCCGTTGGTGACCAGAGAAGAAAGAGGCAGAGAGAAAAACCACATCAGGAGAGCTCCAGCGTTACCGTAACAGGTTATAGTATCTACTTCTACTCTTACATTCTGAATGAATCCAGTATACTCCATTGAGCTTTCTCAGCATATACTGTAAAGTCATGCAGACCTCTCGGTAGTAGCCATCATCTATTTGTACGGCTATCGACATTCTTATTCAGTATTCAGTATCGCCCAGATAAACGCGTACAGCAGCATGCAGAGCCCATTCATTCACTGTAGACTCGACCAACACATTCACTGCCCACGACACCGTACCCTGGTAACTCAATAACCCACCGAATCCGCAGTCATGTCGACCTCACCCTGACTCCCATCACTCACCATCGTTCTCACCTCCAAACTAGTTCTTCATGGAGCTAGACGAACCGAATCACGGAGGGGCTGCTGCTGGCATCGCAGACAAGGGCTCGTCCGATGCAGCAGCCCCGTCTGCAGGAGAGAAAGTCTTCGAGATCGAAGTCCACGGTTTGAAGGCGAGGATCTTCCTGAATTGTTCCGAAGAAGACCTCGTCCCTTCTCGATACCTCAGAAAAGCTGAGCGATCACGTATGTACAAGTACATGCCTTCCCTGGCTTTCCCTCTCCACACACCCTTCCAAATCGTTTATATTTATGGAATCATATACCCCAAGAGAGAGATGAAAGCCAGACCAGCACTAACCATCGCTAGCCGTGGCACAACGCACGATCTGGCTTTTCCGTCGCCAACAGAATGCGTGCCAGGTCAATCTGAACCGGTGGTCGAAGGTCGACATCCGTTTCCGAGGGGTGTTTAAGACGCTTAAGAAGGTACCGCTGTTTCGAAAGGGATTATACGAAGACGATGCAGGTCACTGGGATCTTCCTGCGCGGGAATACGACTTTGCCAATGCCTCCAGGACACAGGGACAAGTTGTCTATGCTCTCCTTGACGAGGTTCTAGGTGCATTGAAGATCACGCGTGAGGCAGAGAATCACGAATCTTATTTTTTTCTTCGGTAAGCTTGCTCTTAAGCTCTGCTGTTTCAAATACCCCTTGGAGTGGTTGACTTCTTCTCCTATTGTAGTGGAGTAAATGCACGAGGGTTAACAATAACCAGTGCGCGACTGTTGAGCTGCCAATTGGAGTACTGGACCGGATATCGCGAGAAGTACAAGGATACCCCGATTACGGCGGGATTGTTAGCCGTCGAACATTACCCGGAGCAACATTCTACGCGTACGGTTCTCCCTGTATCCACGGTACGTCCTGCCTAACTCTCTGTCTTGTGCGTTGCATCCGAGCGAACGTAACTAAACCCAAGGGCTTTTTACAGACAACAGAAGAGCATGAATTCCTCGAGTCGGCTTTGGAGGGAAAATTTAAGCTGCTGCTCTCGCAGTTGCTGATGAACATCCACCGCTTGCACCCCCCTGGCGATAAGTTCCCCGACCAAGAAGTGTTTCTGATAGGTCTGCACGGATCCCGATTGCATATATTTCGGGGCATCTTCCCTGGACATAAGACCTCTCGGCTCTGGAGCGGCCGGCACAACGCATCTGGAACCGACACGGAGATAAGGCAGCTCGCCGTCAGTAGTGCCAACCACCGGTTCTACGGCCGGCAGAATATGGAGCGGTTCATGCAGAAGGTCGAGTGGCTCCAATTGTCAACGTCTGACAGCGAGCCAGATCCGCGCGTCTTTCGCATCCTGGGGAGTAAGGAATACGATCTGTGGGTCGAATCGGACTTTTACGCCGCGCTGCGATTACTGGTGGGTTTGATCATGTATCTGATGAGTGGGCGCGCACGGTGTGGCATCCTGCAATATAATTTTAGTTGCTCGCCGTACGATGAGGATGACGAGCCCGACTCAGAGGATGAGGAGCTGCGAAGGAAGGTCGCGCAGGAAGAAGACGATGTGATCCAACAGGAACGAAAGCTGAGGACCCTGAAGAAGCAGAAACGGGAGGAGGATCAGGAGCGGTTTTGGAGACGAGAGGCAATGCGATCGTCGACAAACGACCGCATTGGAGGATTCAAGGATTTTCGCCAACCGTGGTGGGACTGGGTCTGGGAGGACAAGCATGATGATGGATGTGCCAAAGATGATGCCGACGTGATTTTTGATGGCCCTTAACCGTCGCTCATCATTTGGTCAACGTATTGGCTGTTGTATGACTGTCCAGTGGGGGAAAAGAAACCGGAGAGACAGATAAACGCGCCGCCACATTCACAGCAAAACTGAGATTGTTCATGTTTACCTGAGAGAAGCTCGTAACCTCCCATGTGTAGTAATTGGACATAATCCACAGCGACACTTCACAAGAATATCCTACCCTCAATCCCTGTGCCGCCTTTCGGATTCAAATTCGGTAAACCCGTCAATGCCTCGTCCATCCTGTCCACCGGTTCGGAAATACTCGCAGACAACACCAAGCGCATAGCACGTTGCTGCCGTGGCAAACCCACTGATAAGCACCCGGCGCAGGATTTGGCGAGCTCTACTTCCGCTCGTTTGAGGAGGTACATTGGTCTCAGAGCAACTAGGACCAGAGGCAGGGCTGGCGGTGTTGGCAGTATTTGAAGGACGTAAAGCCTCGTCGCCGAACAAGGGTTCGTCTCTCACATAGGCACCAAGCTCGCTCTTCGCTTTCTCCGTGAGAGCCTTTCTAAACACAAGTATATCTCCGCCCCCCGAAATGATCTCGTAGCCATCTGCTTGCATCTCTTTAAAATATGGTAAGAACTTGGATGGGCTATTCAAGCGGGGAAGGATTTCAGAAGGGTGAAGACACTCGTGCGTTGTATGAAAGGATGAGTTCGTTTCCGCTTGTGTGATCTGGAGGGTCAAAGGATCATATGCTAAAACGCGGTAAGTGTCGCCGATCAGAGAGCCGCCTGTAGTGACCTGGGTGGTTTTGCGAGCCTGCGTGCCAGGTAATAATGTGTCCGAGTGCTCTTCTTGGACAGGCACCTGAGAGTTATTGGGACTGTCTTCTTCTGGATGGAGTTGAGTCGTGCTTTCCTGCGCGGCGGGTTCGCTTCTTGTTGTTCCATTCACTGGCGATGTGGGCACAGGCTCCTGAAACCTCGCTCTGACATCTTGAGCTCTGACATCACTGAAGGGGTCTACATAGGAGTCAAACGCAGTATCCAAGTCTTTGCGCGCCTTGCGCCGCGCCTCCGGCTCTCCCTTCAAGTTCCTTGCAATATACAACGAACGGATGTCGCTAGCACGCAGGAGGTCCAGATCCTCTGCCCTCTCTTCTCTCATCCGTGGTTCCTGTTGCTGAGCTGGACCCAGAACTGATGGGCTTGTGGGTTTGTAGCGATCTGGGTTAAATCCTGGAGATTTGGAACAGTTGTTACTGTCAGGTACATTCGCTTGTGTTTCACTGTCCGAATCGAGTTGTTCGTTCATATCGTTTCCATGCCTTTCCACTTCTGGTGTCGGGCGTTCGAGAGAATTCTGACGCTGACGACAATCATTGAGGGTAGGTTCGCCTGAATCCGGGTGTGTTTGTCCTAGGATGTTTGTTGGATCTGACTGGATTTCCTTCACCGACTCTGAATCCTGGGGTGCACTTGCACTCTCGTTTGAATGCTCTTTCGACCGATCAACAGCAGAGAGGTAGCCGACCCGGTTTTCATACCGCGTGGAGTTCCCAACAAGGGTATCCGGAGATTCTCTGCCGCCTGTCCCGTTGGTTTGTTCGGCCGATCTCCTAGGAACCATCCGATTACGAATCGGGTCATATTCAAGGTCCTGCACACTCTTGGCCTGCGCAACGTGGGTGGTTCTGTCAGTCTCGTTTGCTTTGCCCACGCCGAAAATCGAACGACACGCCGACATAATCCTGTTCTCTATGTTACTAGGGAAGTCCAGCGGCGGAAGCCTTCTCCCGAAAAGAGCTGTGTATGGATCGGCGGCGATTTCTTTCCGAATCTGCTCCATCCTCTGCTGCATCCGGGCACTTTCCGCTTCCCAGAAGCTCTTCTGAGGGTGTGCTACATTCTGAGCGGATCCCGGGGCGTTGGGTTTGGACCTAGTCCACCACGGGTGACGGTAGTGGTGTTGATGGCCCCATATTACTTGGGCTGGGGCTTGTCGTAGATGATCAGCTGGTGCGCCACCTGTTCTCGATCGATGAAGGCGTTGATACCGGGCTATCCGTATCTGTTCGTGGGAATCGAGGCTTCTGTATCGTTGGCGAGAACATCCCCATAGTTTTCGGACTTGAGTGGAGCTCTTTAGGACGGGGGAGGAGATCCGGTGTGGAGCTTGAGTCTGGATTACCGATAACGTTCTGGAAAGTCTTATCGCTGTCGGATTCGATAGTGGTAAAGGGTACACCATGGTTGCAAACATATAGTATCACATTGCAGGCCAACTCAGGTAGAAAGAAGCAGGGAGCTTCCACATACCTTGTAGCATTCGATGACGTGGGGGAAAGCAAGAGCAACTGAAAGGCGGAAGAGAGATGGAGTGGGGTCATCTGATTAACATTGGCAGCCTGAGGCATACAACCCCTTCAATACTCTTACGGAGACTTACATACTGTATGCACATCTCTCTTTAGGATCACAGCTATAAAAACCTATTTCTCGCTTGAAAGAGCTCACGAGCATGTAGTGCTCCCCTCTAACAATATTCAAAGATTACATAAAACCAAAATTGCATTCTACCCACAGCATGTCAACTCCTCGCACAACGTTCCGCACATCGTTTGGCATTTCTCCAGCGATCTCTTGCGTAGCTCCTGCACGGTCTCCGCCGATTCATGTTCTGTACAGATGACCTCCGCTATGGGACATGTTTCCGGCTGGAGTGTTGCTGAATGGATACCGTATGCATGAAAGCACTCGTTAATGGTCTTGGTCGTCTTCGCAAAGTTTGTCATGGACGGATCGGAGACCACGACGTGGACCGATGCCAGGGTTTTGTTCTGATTCAGACGCCAAATGTGAAGCTCGTGGATGGCTAAGACACCAGGTACCTATACACGTTGATCAGCATTGAAGTTCATAATACGAAAACGGTTCAAGATGGCTTCTCCGGATACTGATCCCGAAGCAATTATACATGCCTTTTCTAGATCATGTTTCACGTCCGCCGGGTCCAACCCGTTCGGAGCGCTTTCCAATAGGATAAGGCCAGATCGTCGTACTATATACAATCTCAGCTGAGTCACTACGCAGTCGAGACGAGATCAAGATACCGAGAGGAAGTGAAGACAGCATAATCATCATGGCGATCCCCATACTCGTGCCTGGATCTGCATAGTACCTTCCCTCATAATGTGCCAGCCAGATCACCAAGGCCGCAGCCATGACCCCCAGGTTATTGGCCGCATCACTAACCACATGGAGCAAAACACCTAGCATGCCGAGGTCGTGTCCCCGGGAGGTCGGTTGCGTCCCGTGCAGTTGGTGTTTGTGATCATGATGCTGCATGATGGGGTTGATCATCAGTAAATATCGACACTAGGGTCTGCTTCCCACGAACAAACCTCAGAGATATCTGACTCATCGCTGCTTGGAATCGGGGACAACGGTGCTGCGGAATGCCCATGATGATCGTGTCCGTGGTCATGTTCTGCTATCTTTCAGTCCCGTATCATACCAAGCAAAGCCCTGTTTACCAGAGACCAGACGCACCATGCAGGAAGATTGCGCTGATCAGGTTCAGGCCCAACCCCACAGCGCCCATGATGAACATCAGCTTCGGATTCTCCACATCTAACTTGGATTAGCGGCGACGTGTCTGATTCGACAGGAAGACCAACACTGCAACGAAATGAACCGCTCGATCGATTGTAGGAACACACTGATCCCGAGGGCGAAAAGAAGCGCACCGTTGAAGAAAGCGCCTAGTAGCTGGGCTCGCTGCCATCCGAAGGATAAGGATTTGGGCGCATCGTCTGTCTCGGAGACCTATGCCCAGCGGGATCGGAATCCACCCGTTAGTCTTTCGTGTAGTCTTTTGGGAGGAATCAAGGCATCCTACCCTGAGAGCCACCAATGCCACTATGAAGCTGATCAGGTCATTCAACTAAACGCTGATTAGCAACGCCTCCACGCAGTTCATCTGTAGGTATGAATCCGTACGTAATGGAAGGCATCAGCGACCAAAGCCAAGGAATGCGTATAAAATCCGACTATGAGACAATCTCAGTGACTATCCTCCACTCAGACAACCGAGCCTGAGACAACAGGGGGCAAACTCTAGACAACGCAAGGAAAGGGAAGAAGAACAAGGCGTGTTTACTGGAGATCTCCGCCACGAAGAAAACCGATGCAATCCCAATCACTGCGGACAAACGCTGCGAGCGCGTTATTTTGAAGCCCATTCTTCCGCTTCTTTTCGTGCAGTTCGATGTTGAAGGTGGAAAGCAAAGCAGGGGAGCATTCGAATCGAATCGATCTCAATTCCAAACGCGACCAAGAAAGAATGGGGGAGTTTGTTCCACCCCCTTGCGTGGAAATTCCCTTTGGAATGTATGATGTCGCTCTCTCAACGTGCTGAGAGAAGAAGAGGAAAGGGGGCAGAAGGTACTCTTTATTGAACATGACGGTGGTGAAACAGTTTCACAGTGAATAAGTATATCGATAATGAGGTGGAACATGTCCCGTATCGGACAATTTCCCTGCAAAAAACTGACCAGATCCCTGGATGTATCCCAAAAATAGAATGGGTTCATACATTCATAAGACTACAGTCTACTGTTATGACTCCTACTCATAATACTATTGATGGTACATCAATAGTAAAGCGAGAAGGCTGGCTGATATTCTCCTTCAGCCAATATGCCCTTCCTGCACCTACATTGCGATTACTACTGGTTTGCCCCTGACGAAGTCCAGTCTCGTGTTACCAACCCAAGGGACGTGGGAGTATTTTAAATGTAGCCGAACTGGAAAGTGTCCATGAGTAGACACCAAAGAGCGCCGTTGCCGCACGTCACCGTCTTGCACCCGGTATCTTGATCTACGCTCAATATCCTTGTTTATCGGGAAACGCTAGCAAAGGTTTCAATAGTTCCGTCAGGCCCTCACTCGTCCCTAGTGTGTCGTGTTTGAATCGCACTGTATATGGAGTAGGGCTGGAGATCAGCTTCTTACCGGGTTCAAAAGTCGGCGGACGGTTCCGGTTGAACGTCATGACGGACATGCATGCTTCAGAATGAGCCACACGTAGTATCGAGAACGCGTTCTGGCGTGCCTTCAGACCATCGTGTGGAGATCTTCAATATGTTCATACTCATGGCCTTGCAAACGTGCAAAGTGCCACACATCTATCTAGGTCAATATATACATCCCATGCGCGAAGGAGAACGAAAGAAAGAAAGAAAACGAAATGGTATACAACACCCCAAGTCTAATGCAACGAAGTGGGAGGAACGTAGAACCAACGTGGAATCATCATCACATGTTATCCTCACTCCAATGACTTCTCGCTTTCATCCATGCGTCGTGCTCGCTTTTCCCCTGCTCGGCATCCAGTCCGACACCCAACCCCCGCTCTACCCATTGCTTGCTGCCCATCTCGGAGAGACGCGAGAGCGCCCGGGCGAATGCAAACCGTTCCTCATCACCGCTGAAGATGGAGGTAGACTTGAGAGCTTGCATGGAAAGACCAAGGTCATCCATCATCATGCGCATCGCGTCGGAGAGATCGCTACCTTCGCCCTCCCCGAGAGAGCTCTTCATTTCCGCCTCGGAGAGGAAGAGGTTGGTCAAAGGCACTTCCGTGGTCAGGACTAGCTTGGCCTAGAAGAGATTAGTCTAGTTCGTTTCTGTACAGTGGAAGTGCTTACCCTGCTTTCATAGACGGCATCAATGAAAGTAATAAACCGACGCGCAAGATCTCGCTGATTCAAGGTCATCCCGGGAACGTCCGTGATGATAAAGGCGTCATAGTTCCTGACTAACTCCAGGTAGTCCGCAGCTCCTGTCGCTCGACCAATCAACTGCTGAAAGCTAAACTGAGCGGCTCTGCCGCTCGCCAGGGGAACCTCGATCTTGCGGCCCCAGACCTCCTGCGTTTCTGGATGGGGAGGATCTTTGGGATCACCCAGGAACTCGAACCATTTCTGGGCGTGCTGGTCAGCATCCTGACCCAGTGGGTGGTGGTAGACGCCGGAAGGCGGCCGAGGGATTTTGCGGTAGTCTGTGGGAGAGTTCAAGTTGATCACGTCCAGAGCGGTTTTCAGCAGGTTGATGCACGGGATGAACGACTCGCGCTGGATGCCATTCTTGTACAGATCATCCGGGTGCCTGTTGGAAGTGGTGATGAGCACGACCCCATGGGACATGAGGGACTCCAGAAGCCTCCGCAGAATCATAGCGTCCGCAACATCCGTACACTGGAACTCGTCGAAACATAGCACGCTCGATTTCTCGGCAATGGCCGCTGCTACCAAAGGCAACGCATCAAAATCATTGCCGTAACGCATTTTGACCACATGCATGCGCTTATGGACATCTTGCATGAAATTGTGGAAATGGATCCGGGACTTGGACGCGATATTCGAGGGTAAGGTCTCGTAAAACAAATCCATGAGCATTGTTTTCCCACACCCGACATCTCCATACATATACAAGCCTTTCGGAAGGTTCTCGGGGATCGTTAACTCTTCCTTTGCCTTGCCACGCCCGAACAAAGACCCCAGGAACGACGTTTTCGGCTGAAGATCCAAGGATTCGGGATTCGGGTGGATGACGGCCGGAGGATGGTAGCTTCGCAGCCTTTCGTGCAGGTCTTGTAGGGTGCCAATGATCTCTGTGCGTGATCCAATCATCAGCATTCACCATGCCCTTGGGGTTGACCGTAAATAGCGGAGAAGAGGGTAGGACGTACGTCTCTGGTATGGGTCATCCCGTAGCCGACCCTGTTGTACGCGCGCATCATACTCTTTTAAAGGACCACCCTGTAGCTCAGCTGCAACATCCGAGCTGACTTCGTTCGCCGCTGCTGTCGCGTACTGTCGCATATACTCATGACCCAGCCGTGGCCCACGGGTGTTCAAGCCTCTGGTTAAATGGACGATTGCGGGGGTTGGCGTTTGGGAACGGCTCACACCGGCATATGGCTGATGTACACTTCTTCTGCATTGTCTGGCATAGGCTGGCCTCGTGCCTCGAGGCAGTATCGACACCCTTCGAGACCCCAGCGTGGCTGGAATGTAGTCCACGCAGAGTCTCGCCGACGACCCGCTCACTGGCATCGATGCGGTGTTTAAGAGTTGCTGCAACTTTTGCTTTGCTTCCTTTCGGGTTCCTTCAACTTGCCCCTGACTAACCGAGTGTTCTTGCGCACTAGGACCCGCGCATGTACGGTTTGTATCGTTCGTCGCGCAACCGGATTTTGTCTTGAGGCCGAGGTTATTAATCGCGAATCGGAATGGCGGAGGAAAATCACTGTTCGGCTGCGGGTGAAGGGTGGGGAGCACCTGGCAGAAAGTCGTCAGTCGTTCTACTACATTGTAATTCCACATTAAAAGCCCGGACAGGGTCAAGGCCGTAGGCTTACCAGTTGTGAACGGAAACGAGAAGAGTCCAATAGCAACTTATATGTATAGTTAGTGTACACTATTTACATACATAAACCAAGGTCTGGGGCGCGAGTTTTGGTCGGAAGAAGTTTTACCCTTTTCGACACCACCGCCTTCTGTTTCTAGTCTTCTTCGTGCCTTACGTCCAAGGCTACATATTTACCGAATGTGGAAGCATCAGCCACAACGCCTGCACAGCCTCACAGCACGTTGGATCCACGCAGCCTTCGCCAACACGGCCAAAGAAAGTCTCGCAGGAGGAATCCGCTGTTGAAGGTGGCCTAAGGACGGCCGTTTCTCTTGGTAGATATGATGGTTGAAAGGTATAATTGGTGCGAGGAAGCATAAAGATACTTCGACTTCTGGAAACTCTGAAGTGAATCGTGACTGAGCTCACTCCATCTTTGATGGCTGTGGCCTCAGTTGAAAATTCGATGTAATGCGCTCCTACATAGCACAAGGTGGGGCTGTCTGAAGGCCAAATTCCTGCCCGTCTTGTTGGTCTTCGGAGCCGTAGTCATTAAGTCGAGCTACCTGAAAGACACATCTCGTGTTATACCCATGATACTTCCCTCCATGTCTGAAACCATTGACCAAGTCCCTTCACTCGAAGTAAGAAAACTGATAACCAAGGCAACACGTTTTATCTCTTTACGCCCCGTGTTTGGTTCTACTTCCTTGATTGTAATGTTTGCAAAAGTGCTCAAAGAAAAGGCTGGTAATCTCGAACATCATTCCATCTAAACAAGCAAACGGTCCACGCCGTAGGGTTTCCAACGTCGTAGGTGATCTAAGATCGTACAAAGGGAATGCTATTGAGACAGTGGCATAATATATTTATCGTCGACATAGTTAAAGCGCATGTCGTCAATGGTGGCCCCGAATATCAAATGCTGATCTCGAAGCTCTTTTTATCTTAGCAAATACTTGTCATAGGGTGGCTTCATACTTGCAATTGTGGCCATTCTATCTTAGAGTTGCTCTTCGGGGATGTCATGAGACAGCTCGTAAGTTTATCGAAGTGTTGTTCGTGTCATCGCACGCTAGTTAGTTCTATTAGCGATATGCCACTGGTGCCTTGTATTGAATCGCTTTTGCTAACAAGGCTCATGGATGGGGAAGTCATAATACAGTCTTGAAACCAAATACATAGATGAGAGCTTGACTTGCAGCTGCTCAAAAATCTTCCGATCTGGTGCAGAAACTCAGGCGGACTGGGTGCTGAGCCCGGGGATTCTCGCTTTGTTATATATACTCAAGTTATCAATCGATTTCAGTGTCACTGGGTTTCTTCTTTACCATGCAGTCAAAAATAGCCGTATCACTAAATGTGCTGGGAGGGGAGTGGTGTATTAAGGTCCATAATGAGAATCAACGGACTGTTCTATAATATTCACGCTTCCCGCCCAAAGCAGAATCGATCCCTCGAGCATACGATGCACTGGATTCTGAGGATGGTTAGGCATGGCGATACCCCAGAGGACCTGAACGAGGAAGGACAATCAATCGATCCCCGAACAAGCGGATGTATCCTCATCACAGAATGGTAGAAGTTGGAAAGTGCAGGTTAGACTAAAAGAGTACCCTGACAAGGCGCGCTTAGGTAGAGGGAAAATGTCTATGGGTAAGGTAATGCTGAAGCTGACTCTGAAATGTGGATACCCGAGTTAACAGTATCCAAGAACAGTTATCATAATACCTAGACGAATAGGTATTCAAAATCAAAAAGGCATTCCTATACTACGATATGGCTGTCGTTATCGTTTCCGTTCTAATGCTCATCTATTGTTTCGGTTGGTGTGAACTGCCCCGTAGGTGCTCGTCTAAACCATCTCAGCTCTCTGCAATGTGCAATCATGTAATAGAAACAGCAACCAGCCAACTCGCCCCGCAGAAAGGTGCACGGTGATCAAGGTAGCAAGAGATAGGATTCCATATACACTGAGTTGAGCGAATGGTAAGCGACACGAAACATTGCTCAGACCATTTAGGCAATGATGCTATCTGGGCTTCACGAAGATTCTGGGCGAGGTGAATAGACGGATAATCTAGAGATTACTGACCTTTAGCATTTTATCGGACAGGAAAAGAAGGTCACATTTCTATAGTAAGGACTATTGATGTACGGCAAGCCATTGCGGCCAACGCACATTAATTCGTTTTCCTATATTCTTAACTTGTTTCAGCCGGCAGAATAGTCTACTATACTGAATCTACTTAAATTGCTTACTTAGTCTACATCATCTGACAGAACTGTATAGTCTAGATAGTCCACGTAGCCTGCATAGTCCGCGTAGTCCGCTATTCTGCATATTCTGCATATTCTGCATATTGTGCGTATTGTGCGTAGTCTATTTAATCTAATTATATAGTTATCTGACTGTGAACCACTGAGCTAATTAGAATTCAGACTTGGTATCGGCTAATCAAAGGCGACCAGCCACGCGGTAAAAGAGCTTGACGAAAAAAGGATAAAAAGAAATCTAAAAAATATAGAAAAATGGATCAATGCGTATTGGCCGCATTGGCTTGCCGTAATTGATATAGTATTAATAAGTTTCACAATTCCAGGACCATTTTGCTGGGACAATGCATGGCTCCGCGGTTACAGAAATTCGAGGGCCTCTCGCATTGTGACCCAAGATACTACACTTCCGAACTTCAAATATCCTCCTCAAATAACTGGATGCCTTCAGAACTGAGGATAGGCCGTCATTCCCTGCTGAGCATTGTCAATTTTTGCTTTGCTGTCCAGAACACTCTCTCAACTAGATACGAGATTAGCTCTGTCTCGGTTGCACAAAATTGAGACCTTCTCTTCTTTCTCCCGGTCTGACGGCCGTATCAATAGTCCAGTGACAAATAAAGCATCCAAATCTAGGGCGATTTCCTGAACAATAGGATATTGGCTACAGCAAACTTCCCACGCCTGAAAGATGCATAGTGGAAGAAAGAGATCAAATATCGATGCACAGACCCTACAAGCAGCTCAGGCTGTTGCAGATGCGTTCGTAAAACTTGGTTAACCGGACTCGCCGGATTGCAATCTTACCTTGGGGAATGCTTCATGGGATCGAGGGTACAAATATCGCGCTGTAGCGTATCTCTCTAGTACTGCGATGCTGTGTTATTCATCAATCGAGACGGAGAGCAAACTATTACATTGCATCGTGCCACTCAAATGAAGACGCAGTATTGCTTCTTCTAAGCAGCCTAGGAGGAGTCTGCACATGAGAAGACGCCCGATACTCTTCCTTCGTCATAGGATGCCTTGATCACTAGAACCGTTGCATAAGTACCCCCAACGATGATAAGTGCCCCCGTGAGTATCATAAAACATGCAAGAATAAGCACCATGACTTCCTTCCACCCATTTCGATATGCCTTGAATGCCTCCAGTAGCCACTTTCTCACTGAAGCTGAGCGTTCCGTGTCTACATGCTGGACCCCATCCACCGCCCTTGTAGGTCTTTTAGCAAGAAAATAAAGAAGCATGAAGCCAGGAACAATGTTAGTGAAGACGGGATTTACCAGTGCGCCAACCAAGCTCAAGAAATTGTCAAAAAAAGGTACGACTCCAACGATGACAAATCCAAATATCACGGTGACAACCATGGATCCAACCCAGACAGACCAGTGCACGACGGTATTAGATTGAAGATGTGGCGTGCCGCGAAGAATCCTGACGAACCAGTATTTTGCTGCAACATGACTCCAGAGAACGGCTGTTACAACTAAGCCTGGTAATGCGATGCCATATGAGACCTTTTTAATCAAAGGGCCAGCTGATCCTAGGGCTGGGCTTGCGAGATACTGACCAACCTTGGCGTACATAATAGAAGAGATGGCTATATTTGTTATAACAATAAATGACTGACCACAGATCAGGGAGCGGGTAAAAAGCTCGGGGCTCCTCATCTCTGCCGAAACGGAGAAAAATGTGCCTGATGCACCCAGGGTAAATAATTGGCTGGATATTGCTGCCATTGCCTCGGAGAAGCTTGCGTTGGGAAAGGCACGGATGTCTAGGTTGATCGGGCCAGTCAATGGGGCTGCGGCTGGTCGACTTTGGGTGAGGCATGCGATTGCTGTGATCCAAATGGCGACGATAATGCCAGCAACGCCAATCCAGCTGAGCCAGGATACCTTTTCTAGAGACCTAAATCCCGTCCCAAGGACAAGGGCACTGGCGGAGGTGACAGCGACAAAGATCATAGAGCAAGCACCATGATCAGACAACGTGTTGAGTGCGACAGAAGTGGCAAGCATTCCTGCTCCAGCTACTAGGGCAAGATAGACATAGTATATTGCACCGACTAGCTCTCGTGCTCCTTTTCCGAAGAGCAACTCGGCTGCATCGCCAATGCTATGCATATGAGGATAGTATTGCCGAGCGTTCCCACACATATAGCCAGCCACCGTTGTTATCAGAGCCAGGATGATGAAACATAAGATGCCAGGGAAGAATCCCAGAACGTGGAAAGTGGATGGAAGGCTGAGAGCTCCGAGACCAATCTGGAACTTGGTAATGAGGATGGCAGCGCCTTGCCATGAGACGCCGCAGAAGTCGACATCGCCCGTTTCCTGATTGAATAAATCCTGAGGTGCTTGAACAGCCGGCTTCTGACACCCACCAGGGGTCAAATCGTGGCAACCCTCATCATCAACGCCGTGTCCGTCGCGAACCGTGCATTTCTTGGATTTGTTCATGATAAACTGAGTGCTTCGAGTGCGAATGAAGGAAAATAGATTTTGTATGGCATGGAAAAGGGCAAGTAAGGGTAATGGGATGCTTATATGCACTTAGTGTTTGGGGAAAGCAATTGAGATGGAGGCTTATTTGCTCGGACCGAACCATATGGACCTACGTCCCCAGAGTAAAAGGTTGAGTATGGAGAAACAAATACGGGGTAAAAGATGGAGTGTGGAGAACCTTATCAAATCGGACAATCAATAAGATTCTTCCATCCTTCTGGACATCCATGAAGCCATCGGCTACGAATAGGAGCTCCACATGCCCATATATTTTACCATATTACACGCACCAAACGTTCTACCAGGCTCTACCGGTTTTATTGATGAAGAATTTGACTGAGTAATGTATACTGATGGAGTAACCCAAGTTTGGAGAAGGTTTCTTAGAGATATAACCATATCTGATCGCTCCTCGAAGGTTCAACTCGGTAAGCATAGAGCTTGAGAGCAGTCTTGCTAGCGGATGGGATATATAGATAAGAACGCGTGTTGATTCTTTTTATTCAATCGTTCTGGCCAAAATCGGTCATTTACTGGCCACTCAATTACGTGTAAGGACTCAGAATCGGAGGTCCTTGACTCTTTGCCGGGCCGAGAATCTAGCTACAGATATTAAGTTTCAATCACTACCATGCCCTGCGATAAGGCGTTAGTTCCTACATGCAGAAACCTCTGTGAGACAACTTTGCCCACATTGATAACTTGAATGTCTTAAATGCCAAGTAAATGTGAGCAGTTTGTTGTCTAACCTGGTTGCCCTTTCATGGACCTGATGCCAGAGTTGACCTACCAAAGAGGGAACAGAAGAGGATGAGTTTCCACTGATGGTTGAAGGAAGCACTGTGTTTGAGTCCTAGTTATGCTAACCTGTACACCAGTCAATTAGTTGCGGAGATGTCAAGGAAAGTCTACCATTTCTGGCAATGACGGTATTAACGGTCTCGGGTACCGTTATCAAAAGGGTGTGATTGGGTTGTAAGGTTCGTAGACGTGATATGCATTTAGCTCATAGTTCAACCAGTGAGTTTTGATCTTAGATATGTGGCTCTTGGGATAAGGCGGATCCAACGGAATATACTTTTCTATCGATTCTTCAATCGTATGTCTCGGGCCGACTGAACGCAGTCTCACAATGTAAGTTCTCAGGGTGCAATAGAAAGATTCACTTGATGGTCAGGCCTATGAGGTTCATTTGGACCTCTCAATGTGGAGACGACATGTTGTACTCCACAACCCCTCGCCGGGCCGAGAGATTGTCTGCCTATCTTCGATATTCCAGTGGAATGCCTCCGATGCTAGCAGGAGACGCAGATTATGTGGAAAAAGCGGCGCAGAAAGGAATACGTTGACAGCGTGTTTACCAGTAAATGATGGCTGTGGAAAGCCGTATGTTTGCACAGAAGCTGCGTCATGGATATTTCGTTTTGTGGCCGCATGCCGTCCACAGCACTGGCGCAGATCCCCGACAATCTGTTTAGGTAGCACGTGTGGGATCGATGTTGTAATAAGCACGTTCATCCAGCTTATTTTTCAGGATAGATGAGGTACGGAATCGTATTCGGTAGCGGTTTGGAATAAGGCTCTGTTGCATCAGACGGAGCGCCTCGCTTGACGGCATCTAGGATGGACATGTTACACGTATGCCTTATCGGGTGTTGAGATACTATACCTGCCGGGGAAATACTTGAAATATTCATGGTGTCTTGAGGGAACCTCCCTCCCCCGGATAGAACACCCAAGCAGCGCATTGTTCCCTGAGAGGATAATAAGGTATAGATCTCCTTTATGTGACAGCTTCAAAAGACGAGTGTTCGCTTTAGCCTTGAAAAACGCACCGAACCACTTCGTCTTTCTTTAGAACGTGCATAAACTGTGGCTTTCGTATCCTAGAACCTTTATCAAACCACATCCCGTGGAATCCTAGTTGGCTATGAGTCTCTGAACATACCCATGATACATCATACGGCAAGCCCCAAGTAATGCCGTACACAACGGCTGCCGTTCATACACCATCGACTGCTCGCCCAGTTGCCATATTTCAATAGATGGAATAGTGATATATCTACGAGCTAATCATGAGTGTGTTTGGTGGAATCACGCAAGAAGCTTCGGATCGAGGAACACGTAATGGTGGTTGTTTTCACATTTTAGACATAGTTTTGTAATATCTTTGCCTTGCTCAGTCACACTGTAGTATCTAAGATCTATAGCCTCCCAAGTGTATTGCCTATTTCCGCTGCACGGTTCGTCGCGGCCGTCACTGCCTTTTCCACTATATGTTTGAATCCCAGCGCCTCAAATGTCTGCAGAGCGGCATGCGTGGTTCCATTAGGGCTGGTGACATTCTCGCGCAGCTGGGTCGGACTATAAGATGATGCGACGAGCATCTTACCAGCACCCAAACATGTCTGAGTAGCCAGTCGAGTGGCCTGCTCCTGCTGCAGACCTAGAGCGGTGGCACTGGCGATCAGATGTTCGACCATGGCAAAGAAGTAAGCAGGACCGGATCCTTCACATCACTCAGTCTGTTCCTCATCCACGAAAAATACGAAAAGAAAATCAGGATAATAACAATTTAAAACTCACCAGACAGCCCAGTCACCACATCGAGCAATTCCTCCTTATCTACCCACTCCGTTTCTTGGCTAACACTCCCCAGCAATGTATTCACCAACTCCTTCTCCTGCGCTGTCACATCGGCACTGGCGAATACACCAGAGGCACCCTGCCCTAACAGCGCAGGAGTATTCGGCATAACCCGAACGGCATGCGCCGTGCGACGGTCACTTGTGCGCAGCCACACCTTTAAGCTCTCTAATGTAATTCCGGCGGCGATACTTATGACAGTCGGGAGAGTCTCACGCTGCGACCATGCGGCACTCAGTTCCTCGCAGACGACCTTAGCGACCTGGGGTTTAACGGCAATGATGACTAGGTCGGCGTTGCTACCCGCTTCAATGTTGGAGGAGGTGGTATGCACGCCCAAAACGGCTATCTTGTTGCGGTTGACCTCGTAGGGCTCGGCGATGCAGATATTCTGTCTAGGAACGCCCTGGGTGATGATGCCACTGATCATGGCGAAGGCCATGTTGCCGCCGCCAATGAAGGCGAGTTTGCTCTGTTTGAGGGAAGGCATATCGTCTCAGTTCAGGCATCACGTTGGTGGCACAAAGTTAGTGAGCAACGGGTATGACCCGATATATAGAACCGAATGCATAGAAATACTCAAGCACTCAGCATCTCCCCGCACCATTAACCTGCTAGTAATGTGCGGAGTAGTGATGACAGTTGAAAGTATGAGTATAGCGGATGAGGTATGTCGGTGTTGCCATCCGACAAATGGGGGTTCGGAACGGATGACCGATAATGCTAGGGCTGTCGGGTGACATGTCCGGAGTTGTTTTTTCATAGCCCATTTTGATTGGAAATGGACTGCATAACAGAATAACAGTGCTCCGCCCTGCTGCATACATTGCAAAGCCTATAGCAAATGACCCTCGGGCCGTATTGTATTTGATCCCAGTAGTCAGGAAATTTCCCCATACACGGGTAAGGGTTTTGTCTCGGAGCTGTTACTATATCAATGGCGATAGGCCACTCGAGTAATCCCATCACTCCCCACGTCTAGATCACACAAACACATCATCTACAAGCAACACCAGTTCAAAGTCGGTCAACATCATAACTCTCTAGAACCGAAAACGAAAAGAGGGGGAAAAAGATTAAAATGGTTGTTGAAGTGAGGCAGTACCATCTTCTCCCCACATATCTTATCCCCAACTCGCCCAGACCTCTCCTACACTACAAGAATGTTCTAGCCAAGCGACACAACAGCGCTCAGTGTGACCCAGCCGAGGTCTGGGATATGTTTACGAAGAATGACTGGAATGTTCACTGGATCTTCCGTTACGGCCCAACACAACTATCTCACTACCATTCCAAGGCGCACGAGTGTATGGCTGTTCTTTCCGGGACTGCCAGTATACGATTTGGTGTCGCCGATACCTCGCCAGATATGGAACTGAACACCCACGGATCTGCTTGGGAGGAAGGTGGTGTTCTATTGGAGGCTGAAGCCGGTGATGTTTTTATTATCCCCGCTGGTGTAGCACACAAGACACACAATACCAAGCCTGAAGCTGAGTTCGCGCTCTTGTCACCGGGAAAGGGACATGGAATTGAGGCTGAGAACCCAAAGAAAGCGTTATCCGAGATCAACCTGGATGGGTTTACGATGATGGGAGCCTACAATGGAGGTGACTGGGACTTCATTGCGACTGGAGGTGACTTCGAAAAGGTGTGGGCTGTTCCAAAGCCAAAATACGATCCTGTCCTTGGAATGTCAGATCAGGGGCTTTGCAAGACATGGCGTGGAAGTAGTACTCTGCCCAAGGCTCATCTGTAACATACGAGACGCCGAGATTACATGTTGGTATAGATGACACGGGGATGCTTCTAACAGTTGGATAGCACAGTGCATCTTGCAAGCAATCGAGCAAATGATGATTGATGGCTCCACCTGAATGTAATGTGTGTTGATTAGCTGTTATTGCGAATTGAGTGGTGAATAAGGATAGCCCAATGGTCTAACCAGGCCCAGATACGCTGGTCAAGCGAGTTTCGGCCAAAACAAGCTCGTAGACTTTATTTCACTGGTAGGTTTTCACGTTAAGTGGGTGGATGCATATCCTTGACGCGCCACTCGGGAGTTGGACCGGAGCTCATAAGACAAGCCAAGCCAAGTTTACTGCGGGGTTGTGCCCTTAAAAGTTTGTCCATGCCCGTTCATGTCTGTCCATGCGGATTAGTACTCCGACGACATCAAGTCAGTAACAAGGCCTCTGCTGTCAGACCCATTCAACCCGTTCCTCTGAATATTGCGACTCTAGCCTGGCATGGAGAAGATCCTTGGTGATCCCCCGAACAGACGTGCAGTCAACGCGTAGGTTTCCTCCACCCCCCAACTCCAGATATTTCGAAGTCTAAAGGCTATCCATCCAATCCCTGCACGACTTGTTCATTGACTCTGGTAAAACTGGGCTCAGCTGCCTACGATGTCGTCAACACAAGATAAAGTGTACTGGCGAGCATCCATGTAGGAATTGCAAGCGCAGGAAAGCAAAGTGCATATTCGAGGGCGACGAAAATAAGATCCAGATTACGAAGAAGCACCTGGCGGAATTGAGACGCAGGACGGCGGAGCTCGAGAGAGAGAACCGAGACTTGCAGCAACGCTTGGCGAGCAGTTCTAGAAAGACCCCGGTAATGGATTCCGTGGACCACAGCGGCGGCCTGGTGGATGGACAGGCAAATACCTGCAATGGTTATGTGTCCCCGATCTCCAGATCTGGGTTGGAAGGTCCAGCAATACTCAACCCATTTTCTACGGGGCCGCCCAAATACGTGCGAGATTTGGCAGGCAATCCACGTAAGTTCGGACCCCCTTTGAGGATGGCAGCCAACAAATTTGACTGGGCATAGATTACTTGGGACACACATCAAATTGGTCCTTGACAATCCGCCTCCTTCATCTCACCAACCAAGCCTGTCGTAGCTGTCCCTTTCCCAGTGCGGCTCAGCACACAGATGCCACAACATATGATTTAGGATGGAGTGGCCTGCGGACAACTGTCATTCCGGATATGAGAGAGCTTCCTTCGCTGGATTACGCTCTCTTCCTGACCAACGCCGTGAAGTTCCATACTGGCCAGATATTCCATCTTTTCGATGAATCGGCCTTCCTAGATCAGTTGCACCACTTCTACGAGAATCCAGCCGAGAAGGTTCACACAACGGGTGTATGGTTTATCCACTTCAGCGTCATAATGGCTCTCGGGAAAGCTTTCACTGGAACAAAACGTCGCGGCAGGGTCCCACCAGGGGCCAATCTATTCATGATGGCTTTCATGATGCTCCCAGATTACTGTTACTTATGGAGAGATCCGAGTACATCGGCGGAGTTGTTTTGCTCAATGGCCTTGTACCTACAGTCCATTGATTGGAGAACTCCTGCGTATGACATGGTCAGTGTATCTTTTCTTGATTCTCCCTTCCTTCCCCTGGAGACCGAGGTTGTGGTGTGGACGCCGGTGATCTGGGAGTGCTGACCAGGAGGCCATAGATTGGAAGAGCGTTGCGAATGCTACTAGTCCATGGGTACCATACCAACATCCCCTCGGGAACATTGGATGAACGCGAAACCCAACGGTCTCGGAATGTGTGGTGGACGGTTTTCATCCTTGAGCGTCAGTTTACAGTTCTGATGGGGGTGCCACTGGGGATCAACGACGACGAGATCAGTACGCCGCTACCCGCGTATCCAGACTCTCACCCCACGAGTACCACGATGACTATGCATGTCAAGTTATCTCAGGCATTTGGTCAAGTGATGGATAGTATGAATTCCGAGCCCTCGTACGCAACACGCTTCAAGATACTAATACGGATCCAGCTCTCTATCGGAAGGACCGCCAGATGGATTCTAATTTGGTCAGGAGCACACAAAGAGTGCTTCGAAGTGTTGCGAATGTTGCCCCAGAGCTCGCCAGCTATTTCCCAGTGCCCGAGAAGGGATCAGTGAACGGCATTTCACGTGTTTCGGGATATCTGAATATTCTGTACCAACAGGTATGATTGTTGTGATCCTAGTTATAGCTTCACTAACATAACACATAACGACAGTGTATCATGTTGGCAACTCGCCCATTTCTTTTCAGCCTCCTCGAAAAGCAACTTGAGTGTGCAGATATTGCGACGCCGATTCCGGCGGCTATGAAGCTACTCTTGCAAATGTGTCTCGAATCTGCAAAGAGAACAATTGATATACTGCGTGCCTTTCAAGACCAGAGCTTACTTGGTATGATGATTCCCGGTGATATTACTAGGTACATCCCATTTGACTTCTTGTTCTTAGAGATATTTCTACCATTCGATCTGGATAGCGCTGTCTCTGCTGGCCTGGTGATATATATGGCCACCCTTGCAAACTTCAACTCAACCGAGGACTACTCGTATCTGCGAGATACGCTATTTGACATACTAGACCATTTTATTAGCGAGGGAAACCTCGTCGCTGTGGATCACAAGATGGCACTGCAACAGTTAGAAAAATTCTTAACGGATTCGCACGCACCAATGAACGATGGCAACCATTGGCTTCAGCTTGCAGATGCCGAAATCATGGCGCGAGAACACTTGAGCTGTAGTGAGATAATTTGTACAAATGGAGCTGTTCAGTCCGATGGAGCTGCCTCAGGCATTGAGGGTGTGAATGCAGGTATGATGGCCGGTTCTTCGGGGCTAGTGGATCCACATGAATGGGAACAAGAGTTGATCCCAGCACAGCTGATGACGGTAGTAGATATGTTGGACGGGTGTAGTGTGCTGAACTGGGCGACATTTCCAGATAGTCCCAGTACACTGGATGGGCAAGAGGACGGCATCAATTATTGAGTTAGGTTGAATACGTTACGTGGCAATTGAAGTCTGCTGCTAATGTACGATCTCCGTGGCCCTGACTACCTCTATACATAAACGCTTCGTCAGTCTAATGTCAAAAGATTCTTATATTGTGACTATCTAACTAGCTCTTCAACTCTTCATTGTCAACAAACGCGGTCTGATTCAAGTACCATGTGAAGGAATCGTCCTCATACTGTGGCCTTTTCTCTCCCACCGTCCAGCCATTGCCGAACCAACCGAATTCGTTCCCATCCCATGGCCTTGTCTCAAAGTCCTCCCATCGGACATGCTTCAGTGCCTTTACTGCGTGTAAGCTGCTTCCAGGCCATAAAGCAGTGACTCGGCCTCTCTTTCGCTCCTCAAGGGTAGCCCCTGGCGGCGCCGACTTGTACCAACTGGCACATTCCGCGCTGTAAACAGTGCGCTCAAAGTACTTCTCCGCGAAATGGGTAAAGTTTTGGACCTGCTGTTGCTTGGGCTCAACCTGTCCGATATTTTCGTACGCCATCCTAGAGACAATCTCTGCGACGTATACATGGAGCTGCTCAATCATAATAAGTAGGTTACCCGCTCCTTGGAAGGAATTAGGTCCGAGCGACTGGAAGAAGTTGGGAAAGCCATCCGTACAGAGTCCAAGATATGTCTCAGGACGATTAGCATACCGTTGGCGAAGATTGACCCCATTCCGACCAATAATTGGAAAGCCGCTTCCGGGGCTAGTCTCGAAGCCTGTTGCACAGATAATGGAATCAACAGGCCGGTGCTTACCATCTGCAGTGATAACTCCAGTTTCATCAATCTCTGTGATTGCACTTCCGATCACATTGACTTTGGGGGAGGTCAAAGCTTCCAGATAGCCAGGTCCCGGGGTCAGACGCTTGCAAAGAGGTGGAAATTCGGGCAAGAGTTGCTCCAAAAGCTCGGGTTTTGCCTCCAGCCTGCGCCGCATATCTGCCGTATACTGAGCCGTGACAGCCTTCTGGACATTGCTCCCTCTCTGCGATTTGGGGTAGAGCGTCTGCATCTCAAATTCGAGATGTTTGCGGTACTTGGTGTACGCAATCGGATCCTCTCTCCATGACCGTTTCTCCTCTTCGGTATACTCGAAATTTCCTCCCAGACCATTTGTTCGTGTAGCCAGGCGATCTCCACCGTGTTGGTTGGAAATCCATGTTCTCCCGCGCACATAATGGTCCATGGCCTTGACCTTATCAACGAGAGCGGGGACAATTTGAATACCACTGCTCCCAGCTCCAATGACAGCAATATGCTTGTCCTGGAGAATAAAAGAGTTGTTAGAGAGTCGGCGAGGAATGTTAAGCCAGAATGAAGAGGGAAAGAAAGAAATGCAGGCCGGGAGGGCGATGAAGTTGCCTACCTTGCTATCGAAATTCTCATCCCATCTGGCACTATGGAACAACGACCCTTGGAATTTGTGTAGCCCAGGGATGTTTGGCCACTTCCATTCGTTGAGGAGCCCGGTCCCGGTCATGAGGATATCCGCAGAATCTTCAAACGCTTCACCCGTTTCCATATTTTGGATCTGTACAAACCACTTTCCTGTTACGTCGTTCCACCGTGCACCTGCACACCGGCTCCGGAACCTGATGTGTCTGCGAATGTCATATTTCTGGGCCACTCTCTTCCAGTATTCAAGAATCTGCTGTGAACCCGAGAAAAAGTGGCTCCACCCGGTCCAGGATTCGAAACTGAGCTGATAGGCATGGGATGGAACATCTATCGACAGGGTCAGTTATGGGGACATCCACCAAGCTCACTGTCAGGGTCAAGGATCTGCCATACCACACGCACAACCGGGATATTTATTCTCATACCATGTCCCTCCAAGCTCCGGATTCTTTTCATAAATGACCAAATCCAGATCTGGAACCGCCTTCATGAATTGGATCCCTGCAATAATGCCTGAGATTCCGGCGCCGATGTAAATGACCTTAAGGCGTCTCGGCTGATCGATGGCACGCTCGGATATCAACGGACTGCTGTACTTGTACTGATCCAGACCATATCCAGGGGTTTGTGCGGCGGAGAAATCCATTTCGATGGCAGTGTTGGGCACCGCAGTGGGAGACTTGATTTCTTTTGTGTGAAGCTCGACCTGGGTAGTCTTTGCTTCGTTGGTTTGGCTGTTTGAAAGTGTAGTAATGGCAGGTAGTGTAATGGAAAACATGATGCTTAATGATAAGACACCGTTCTTTCTTTTTGACAAGGTCAATGGTTGTATTCTCTACAGCATGTCATGTTCGTCTTATTTATAACTCGCGTCCCAGACATATGATGATAGCAATATGGAGGTCTGGACATGGCTGTCTCCAACGCCGGACCCCTATCCGATGTAACCCTGGAGCAACCACACTTAGTAGAAAGTTGACTGATTGGACGATGTTCAATCCATTCGTGGGGGTATCTGATCATTAACGTCAACCCCGGAGTTTTGACCTGATTGATCGTGTCGTCGACTGTCGATAAGATCGGGAGGCGTCCGACGATTCACCCCGCGCCGAGTTCTCGGACCCCTTCCCGATATCAACGCTATGAAGGGGTTGATTAAAGTGTTACTTGATTATATGAATATGAACATTCCTATCTGGGTGATACAGTAACCGTGGTTCTGGTTTGATACTCAACGTCTGCGGAGATTTCACAACTGGCGGTAATGAAGGGGCAGGTCGTTCGCTCAGTACTATCTTGTGTCGACATCCCACTGGCTTGCAGAAGTGTTAGAGCCAACTAAAATTTGTTTCTAATGTTAAACTAGTGTAGCCTGAGTCGTATGATAATGCCGAGAAAGTTCTTGTAGACCAACCATCAGGTACTGCGATTGCTCAAACACGAGACGTCTGTCTCTTGGGCCATCAACAGTTACTTTGTGATGATTTCTGGAGCCTGGGACGCTGGAAGGTCTTGGTTGTCTTGCCAAACAGCACTGTGAGCGTGTCGCATTAGACCTACGCTCACTTAGTCTTTACAAGTCTTTTCTTGATTTTGGGTACCATCATCTCGCGCAGTGGCAATACCCTTTGCAGAGCATGTGGGTGACCAAGTAGTTCAGATTAATAGCAGGTTACGTATGGTGTGAATAAGTTACAGTACTGGATATGACTGATTGGCAATATCGGATTGAGAACTGAGCTAGAGGTCTCCTAAGACATGTATGGGTATACTCTTAGCTGAAACACTAGGGTTCATTTCCTGCTAGCTTCGTATTATACACAACGCGCACCATCCACTAGAATCTCAACACCGCTAATAATAGAACTCGCAGGCTCCGCCAGGAAGAGAGCAACATTGGCGACATCGGACGGCTCGACCAGGCGACCGATGGGGATCGCCTCACATTTCGCTTTAATGATCTCAGCAGGAACAGGTCCAGCGTCAATACCAGCAAACTTGTTCAGCAACGGAGTGTTTCCTGAGGTGGGGCAGATCGTATTAAAGCGGAGTTGGTCTCTCGCAAACTCCAGGGCCATGGACTTGGTGGCTGAAGAAACGCCGGCCTTGGTAGCGTTGTACCATGTCTGGCTGGCGCCTGGTCGAATGGCGTTCTCGCTAGAGATGACCACCGTGGAGCCAGGGCCGTTCTTCTTCATCTCCGGGATGAGAATCTTAGAAGCAAGGTAAATGCTCCGGACATTCACATTAAAGAGACGGTCAAACTCTTCAACGGTGACATCGAGACCGGACTTGTTCGGGTATGACCATCCGGCATTGTGGACGACGATGGAGGGAGCATTTCCGAACTTGGTGATCGAAGTCTCGAGCTAGAGAACCTTTGAATTAGCAACTCTGAGCTGGGAATCTTAGTAGGGTTGTCGGATAGCCTCACAGCCTTCTTCCAGCTTTGCTCTTCGGCAACGTTGGCTTTGATTTGATAGGCTTGATGCTCGGGGTAGCCATCGACAGGGCCGTCAGTGGCCTGTAGGTCCATGCCTAAGACCACTGCACCCTCGCGGATGAAGGTTTCAAGAATTCCGCGCCCGAAGCCTTGAGTCGACCCGGAAACTAGGGCTATCTTTCCTTCGAGACGGCCAGACATTTTGGTGGTTGTAGATAGAAGGAGAAAAGAGAACTCGATGGAATATAGCTGAGGGTGAGAGTGCAAAAGTTGAGCTGGGAGTACACTCCATCTCACATTGTCAACTTTCCCACTCTTTTATAAAACAGTTAGTAGTTAGCAGTTACAAGTTACAAGAGGGGTTGTTCTGCAGCTGCCGGGCCGAGATGGAGGATGGGAGGGGAAGTCGGAGGCCACTTCCGTGATTCTGTCCGGTAGACGATCCCGTGCCCTGTGCTGGCATATCTTCTTCACGACTATCACTATCTATTCATTCTATTCATCTCGGCCCGTCACTCACTCTGCCAACAATTCAATTACATTACTCAATGGCACCATCAACTGCTACGCCGACTGACTTGCACCGTGCTTCTGCGTGAGTTCTCTCTGTGCAGATCGTGCCGGCGGAATGGCTTGTTAATCAAAACGTACATACAATACTGATGCGACAGTTCTAGTGCCTGCCTTGCATGCCGGAAAGCGAAAGTGCGTTGCCTAATCTCACAACGCCGAGACCGATGTGATCGATGTATCGCGAACGACTCCGAGTGTGTTTTTGCTCAAACGAAGAGGGCTAGAGTGAGAACCCAGCCGTATCCTCAGCGTAGAAGACCTGAGCCTAGGGCTAGCGAAGATAATAATCGACAGTCCGTGGAGGAAGTTACATCCACTACACATATAAGTCCGTCTCAGAATGAACCTAGTTCTCTACATCAGCATCCGCCGTCAAACAGCCAAAGACCCATCCCCGTTGATAGCCAACCGCAGCTATCGCAACAGCAACAACCAGTGATCACCAATGCAATCCGCGCAAGGGTCGTCGCGGCATTGGCCACTCTCAAGGGAAAGAGAGGCGCACCGTTCAGCTTTGTCACGTCGGGAGACAGCCCCACATTCAGTGTTCAACCCGGTGCGAATGATGGTCCCGCGCGTGATTCTCAACCAGAATCTTTGGAGCATTCGCAAATGACACCATATTCGCTCAAACTTTCATGGCTCCTCCGTCCGTTAGACATTGATGCTCACCGGGATATGAATGATGATGACCGTCGGCCCACTGGCGTGGTCAAAATGCCCACCTACCTTTCGTCCATGACGCTGGGTCAGACCATTAAGGACCCAGTTGAAGGAGGCATAATCAGCTCATTGGCATCAAAAGCGCTGTTCGAATTCTTCATGATACACATGAATGCCAAATGGGAGTATATCCTTGATCCCAAAATCGACACTCATGACGATGTCCAACGGCGCAGCTCCTTGCTGTTTGCTGCGATCCTCTTTTGCGCATCCAAGTTCGCCAATTATATTGATGGATGTATAGTCTCGGCGTCAGACCCTTTCATACAGAGCCGGCTTTGTAGTCTAGCTCGAAACCTGGTGATCAGAACCCTGGCGGAGGGCGACAGGTCCATCGAGACAATGCAGGCACTTTACTTGCTGGTTTGCTGGAAGGATGCGGAGGATGACGTCTCGTACCTTCACAGCGGCTACGCCTTTCGCATTATGCATGATTTAGACGTGGAGCAAAGTGATGGTGATGGGCGGCAGGTAGCGAGACGCCGGAGAACATGGCTCGCATTATACCGGCAGGACAGACAACAAAGCCTGTTTTTCATGCGAAAGCCATCAATCAGTCAGAAGGATGAAGATATCTCTTTACTTGGTGATATGAATACCTGGCTCAAAATGCAATATGCATTGCCATCGGACTTCGTTGCCTGCTGCAGCGCTGATTTGCGGCGTATGCAGTCAAAGTTACGCGGTTTGGTTCAACAAGCCTCATCGATCATGCTACCATGTCTTCTGGACCTCATGGATACGGAGTTGAGAGCGTGGAGATCGAAATGGAAAAATCATTTTGAGGGTGAAAACAGGTCACAATCAAATGATGACCCATCCCTCAATCCGGGGTGGTACCATCTCACCGTGTTGATAGATCTATGGGAGCACAGTGTCAGACTTAACGTCGCATCCTCAATACTTCGGCAATCACTAATGGCCTCAGTGGCGTCATGTTTAGACCCTGGGCGCCAAACTGGCAATGTGCCCATGGATCTCGATCTGATGACCATCCAACAGGCTCTGCCTCCTGATCTTCCGGGGCTGACGAGCAGCATCGAAGGCGCGTTTGGCACGCTGCGTCATTTGATCAGTTTCCCATCTGAGGATCTAAGGCGAGCTCCGGATGTTGTTCTCCTATTGGCGCCAAATGCAGCATTGTTCTTATGCCTCCTTCTCTGTCTTCCAGGAAACAGTAGCACTGGCCCAGCCTTTCAAAGAACAGCTATCACTCTTATTCAAGACATCACTGATCACATAAAGAAAGCCGTGTTATCGCCACAAGATACTGTCGCCCTACATTCCGCATACCTGGACTCGCTGGTAGAGCTTTTAAACCCTGACATGTCTCAGTGTACAGCTGATCAATCAGATCTCGGCATACAGCCAATCTACGATGTTCCACGTCTGGATATCGGGTCAACCAGACTAGAATCTGAGGATCCAGCCCTGCAGGCAGCTCGAGTTTTGGCAGATGGAATTGGTGGTCACAACTACCGAGTTGTTTCTAATGATACTATGTTTAGCCTTCCAGAAAAATACGTCAATCAAAACTTACATATGCAAAGTCTGGCTAACTTGTTAGACGGAGATCTCTTCTGGGAGATGCCCCCTCTGGAGCCGAGTATGTGAGAACTAGCTTATTGAGGACATCGGCGTTATTATTGCTTTCTTATAGTCCAAGGAAAGATGACATTAAGAGAAGAAGCCGCTCCTTTCCGCTATAGAAACTGAATACAAGATCTTTTGTAGGGTAGAATCGTACAATTAAGAGATTTCTGTACACAAGACAAGTCCCGGTGCTTGTCCCTTCATCATATAACGTCTGAATGCCCAGAGCTGTCGCATAAGTATCCCCCACAATGTTAAGGGTCCTCCTACAAGTAGCATGAAGCATGCAAGAGCTAGCGCCATACTTCTCTTCCAATCATTTCGATACACCGTGAGGACATATGATCCGTGTTTCATCGGCATCGACTCTTCCACAGGCACATGTGTGACGAGCGAGGGCATTGACTTAACCATGACACCTGATTGATGTCGCAAATAGTGAAAATGGATTCTGGCAATCAGAGATTTTCACTTTGCTATCTATATGAGATATGATAACTCGTTGCGCTTGTACTTGGAGGGCGGCATGTAAACGATGGAAATGCATCTTGAACGATCATTGTTGGAGCTGCCAATTGTACAACTCCCTTGTTATCACTTGCTAAAGTCTAACCCAAGAACTCGTTGCTTTTCAAGATACTAGAGCTAGGAACAATGGATTCATGCGAAATGCATCGATGAATACGTCAGTTACGTCTGCCCGAGCCCATATGTTGAACCACCTCTCGGCCCGAGTGCGCCGGTGGCCAGCGTCCAAGGCCCTGTACTTGCCGGGCCGAGATTTCTATTCGCAGGGGTTCTTTTTGGTTTACATATCCCATGGCAAAATTTGTTCATTCACCTAGAAGTCCTAGTCAAACAACTTCATCCCATAGGCATTTTGAAAATGATGTTTCCTATACCTGCTAGACAGCGCTTGTTCCTTGTGAGTCGACGACGCCCCTTGGTTGCGGTGTCTCGTTTCAACACTAGACCGGCATCGACATTGAGGAACCCAGCCACCAGAACAAATGAATCCCGTTTCAACACCAAAAGGGTTCTATATGCTGCAGGCGGCGGCGGCCTGGCCATTCTGGGATTGATGTGGACGGGACGCAGTCGGAGCGATTGTCCAGACGATCCACGCGACAGGAAGGCCCTCTCGACGGTTCCATTAACAAAGCTCCTCTCCGGCTGGGTGTAAGTATAGTCCTAAACAAGCAGCATAACCTTGTTCCTCATTCATCAGCTGATAAGGGGCGGTGTATAGCGCCTTCGCCTTCTGCTCCTCGCCAACCTGGGTCGGCATGAGCGAGTCTCTTTACAGTGTTCTTTCGAAAATTCCCATTGTGTCTTCCATCACCAATGCCATCGTCATGCGGACATTCTTCAACCAATTCCTCGGAGGGCAAACGATCTCCGAGTGCATCCCCAAGATAGAAGCTCTGCACAAGGAGGAAATCGGTACCCTCCTGGGCTATAACATCGAGGCTGAACTGGATGGTTCCAGCAAGGATATGCACCTAATTCTCGAGCAAACCGAGCATGTTTTGTCTTCCATTGAGGCCCAGGGCAAAATGGCTCGCCGACTATGGCCTGACACCAGCGCGACTGGAGGCGATAACCGTTTCTGGGTCCGAATCAAGGTGACTGGTTTGTTGCCCAACCCAGTTGCTCTTTACCACGGCTCCAATGCTATCCTTAAGGCAAGGGAAGAAAAAGGATTGGACAAAGACGTCCCGTATCCTGGGCTGCCCCATGATGGCGACTGGGAAGCAGCCTTGAATGGAGATGGCGTGACGGATGCGGATCGCAAAGAGCTAGTGGGCCTACGCGCGGTTCTGGAGAAGATTTCCAGCAAGGCACGAGAGAATAACGTGCGAATTGTGATTGATGCCGAGCAGTCATGGTATCAGCCAGTGATTGACAGTCTGACCGATGAGCTCATGCAGAAATATAACACGTTGGACGGCCCTGCTACATGCATCGCGTCGTTCCAGGCTTACCTCCGCAGGCACCCTCAGTTGTTGGACCAACAGATTGAGCGTGCGGATAAGAAGGGATACAAACTCCTCTTCAAGCAGGTGAGGGGCGCCTACATGGTTACTGAAGCCGCGAGATGGAAAAAGGAAGGCAAGGAGGGACTGGGGCCAGTGTGGCCCACAAAAGCAGATACCGATGCTAGCTTCAATTATGGAATCGAGAAGACTCTCTCCACCGTGGCTGATCAAATTCAGCAGACCGGTCAGTCGAGGATCAGTGTCGTATTTGCTACCCACAACTCTATCAGCATTGATCTTGGGATCAAGTTGCTGGAGAAGTATGGAATGGCAAAACGCCAGCCTGGCGAAGACATCCTTGTGATTTCCAGTGAAGCAGCTGGCAGCATTGCCTTTGCGCAATTATATGGTACGTCACCACCATCCTTCTCTAAGGGAATGGTATTCTAAAATCTTCACAGGGATGAAGGACGACCTTACCAACAAAATCACTGGGTCTGTTACCACTGCAGGTGGATTTCCACTAGTTGTCAAGGTAAGCACTGCATTTCGTTGAGTATGAAAAGTTGCCGACTTGATCATGCTAACCTCCTTGTCAACACAGTCAATGAGCTACGGCGACCTGAAAGAATCTCTGCCATTCCTGGCAAGACGGGCCACGGAGAATAAAGCGGTTCTCGAGGGGCGAGGCGGCGCTGTTGCTGAGAGGTCGCGTTTAGGTCGTGAAATTTGCAGGCGTTTGCTACCTTTTTACTCGTAATAGATCCAAGTCTTTAGGCCGCTATGGATATCGGGTTGTCCCACTGAGAATAAGAAATTCATTGTTGATTCTCATTCTTTATTGTACATTGATTTGCGATAACTATGGAGCGAATAAGTGAGGACGTGATATCCCCAAATTCAATCAGTCAATCAATCAAAATTCTATTAACTTGTTCGAGCCTAACTATTGAGCGTCTAGTTATGAGTAATATTTACCCCTCCAGTCCCCATGAGAAGACTTTCCCTGCTGCTTGAAGGTTTCTCGGACCGACAGAAGCTCACAATTATTTGCTCATCGGCTAGCGAGACCGATTCGGATTTCTTGGAACTCTACAAGCAACCATCTCAAATGCCGGACCGAGAAGCTGTTGACCTATCTCTGAGGCGATAAATAGCACCACATCATCCTATTGTCCATCTTTAGTACCATTCATTGCCATTCGGATATTATCTCGACTACCTCGCATCTACATATAATCTAAAATGCCAGCGGTACAGTATTCAGAGCCAGCGAACGCTGGTGGGGTATGTCCCTCCTCCCCCCTTCCCCAAAGGCAGAAACTATGGACACGGACTAGTTCTAACGTATTGTGGTTTGCAAGCTGTCTTACGAGCCTGGCTCAGAGGAGAGGAAGCTCTTGAAAGCTGCCCTTGCGGAGATGGAAAGCACGGTCACCGAGATCCCGAGCATTATCAACGGTGAACGCATCCTCACTGGCCATAAGAGCAAACAAGTCAACCCCTGGGACCGATATGGCGCCCCCTTGGCAGAGTATCATCAAGTGGATTCGGAGACCATCAAGGCGAAGGCCATTATAGGCGCCCTAGAGGCGAGGAAGAATTGGGCCAACATGTCATTCAAGGACCGTTCTGCCATCTACAAGAAGGCTGCAAAACTTGTCGAGTCGCCCAAATACCGGTGGAAGCTGATGGCGGCATCCATGATCGGCCAAGGAAAGACGTGTGGGCAGGCAGAGGGCGACTGTATCGCGGAAGTCATTGATACTCTGAATTTCCATGTCTATTTTTGCGCCCAGCTTTATGACCAGCAACCCCCCAAGCAATTCGACTCGTCAACGAGCCGGCTTGACTACCGACCTCTCGAAGGCTTTGTGCTTGCTATTTCGCCTTTCAACTTTACCGCGTTGGGAGCACACATTGCTTTCACGCCGGCTCTGTTAGGAAATGTCATCCTTTGGAAGCCCTCGCCCATGGCCGTCTTGTCGAACTACATACTGTACCAAATTATGGAGGAAGCGGGTATGCCAAAGGGCGTTATCCAATTTTTACCCATGGAGGATCCGACTAAAGTAGTTGAGCCAGCCGTCGCCAGCCCTCATTTCGCCGGTCTGCATTATACCGGGTCTTCAGCTGTCTTGCGAGCACTCTGTACTCAGATCGGTACAAATACAAACATATACAAGAATTTTCCACGGGTTGTTGGGGAAAGTGGCGGCAAGAACTTCCATCTCATCCACAACTCCTGTAAGGATGACGTCGACTGGTTGGCGTCCGCTGCAGTTCGTTCGTCGTATGAGTTCCAAGGTCAAAAGTGCAGTGCTCTGTCCCGTCTGGTTGTCCCGAAAACTATGTGGGAGCAAGGTGATCTGAAAAAGGCGCTGGTGCGAGAAGCATCTAAGATGACACACGGCGATGGTGTCAAACAGCTTCATCACCCTCTAGGCCCTATGATCTCAGAGGCAGCTTTTCAGCGGTTTGAACAATTTGTCCAGCGCGCCCAGGAAGACGGTCATGAACTAATCTACGGCGGCAACACAGACGGCAGCAAGGGATTCTTTGTTCAGCCTGCCATTTTTGAAATGAAGTCGACTGTCAAGGGTCTAGAGTCAGATCTAATGACCAAAGAGCTCTTTGGACCCCTCTTCGCCGTTCAGACGTACGATGATGCATCGCCCACTGGCTTTGAGGACGTATGCGAGCTGATTGATAGCACCTCGGAGTATGCTTTGGCAGGTTCTGTCTTCGCCCGCGATAGGAGGGCTGTCAAAATTGCTGATGAGAAGCTTCGTGATTCGGTTGGGATGTTTTGCATCAATGACAAGAGTACCGGCGCCATCATCGGCGCGCATCCCTTTGGTGGAGCCAGGTCCAGCGGCACAAACGATAAGGCAAACTCGATGAATGTTCTGCTCAGATTCTCAAGTATTCGTTGCGTCAAAGACTCCTATATCAGCAGTAGCAGCACCCTGAGTGCCTGCCATGTTCCAGAGTAGGTCGAGGATAAATGGGATCAGTTAGATTACAATGGGTCTCCAACACGGTGCTATCAACCTGATTGAATGGAATAAAGTATTTTGCATTAATATTGCACTACGTACCAGCTAGGCTTGAAATCAAGACATTATCCCCGCTTCGTCTTAGATAAGTTTAGTATCAGATACAATAGTTGCACAGTGCGTTGGCATGGGTCGTTCGCCTGCTTGCACAAAATAATCTAGTCACGTGTCGACCGCAAATCTCTTTGGCTAATATTTGTTGACTTTCCATCGACTTTCCGTCGACTTTCCAACACTTTCCGGCAACCTTCCATTACTTCCATCGACTTTCCGCTACTTCGCATTCCTTCATATCAAGGGCCTACCTCTGCAAACCTTTACTAAACCAAAGCCTTTTCAACATGAAACTTAAACAATATGATATCTGTGATTTATTAGGTCGGCAGCGAACTAGTTTTGGTAAAGATAAGCTCCAGCTACTACCTATGCATGATCTCTTTATACGACAAACCTATTACCATACATACAACCCATCTAGTAAGAGAGAGCATAGCCTAGTTAGTCGTCGTCTCCAAGTCATTCGGCAATTAAGTCCTTATATTTGGATCCTGGTGGCTACCAGCCTTACATTCTCCCATATAGCACGGCTCAAGGATTTTGATGAATGCATTAAGAGGATAGGGGATTGGAAGGATATTCATCCTATCTCTGAACATCTGGAAGGAAGCGCTCGTGCTATATTAAAGGGACTTGACGAGCAACAGGACAGAATAGTCCGTGGTAAGACACAAGACTAGGCTTCTGAATCAAGCTAAACTCCTATAGACGGGCAAGAAATCGGGAGAAAGGTCAGCCAGAGAAATGTACCAAAGATGAATTGTGTGTGTGCAGTGGATTCTTCGTTTACTTTATCTACTAAGCTTTGCAGCATTTCCAATGATCAGTGGTGCACTTAGCCATACCACAATTCCAATCAACAACAGCATAAATGAAAATACTCAAGAGAAATGGAGATTCCTGCATGCTATTGATGCCATGTGCCAATCGGATGAAGCTAGCATCACGCGAGTGATGAGCGATGAGCAATTGAATGGTCTTCTTATGCAACCCTTTGAGAAACCCATACTCTGGCGGAGCTTTGCTCAGCAGTATCCTCTTCATGGCATACCTAGTTCGATTTCAGACTTTCTTGAGGAGCTTCGCCAGTTGGATATCGAATTTCTAGAAGTTCATAACTATGCCGAAAGAGATACGAACTACAAACTATCTCTGGATGAGATTGTCTACCACTTTGAAGCGCCGCCAGAAAATCGCCCCCCGTTAAACTTCCTGGATATTCGCAACCAAATCCTCTCCCGTGTCCCAATACATGTAAACAAAGTTGATCTTCTTCGCTTAGCACTGCGACGACAGGAGGGATCTGCTGGGAAGGGCAACCCTTTAAGAGCTCTACTGGACTACGCAGACCATGAATTCTTTCTCCTATCCAGCAGACACTCAATATCACCTATCCATGTGGATACTGCGGGACAGTTAACATATATTATTGGCATTTCTGGCTGTAAGACCTGGTACCTACCTCGCAAGCTTACTACCAAAACCTACGAGATCCTTGCAACATTTGGAAGCTCTACCCCAGAGACATATTCTGACGGCTGGGTTAAGGTAGATATAATGCCTGGAGATCTACTGTAACTGTTCCCACCGCAAATATACCTTCATCTACTAATCCCGGCTAGAATCATGCCACCTGGATGTCCACATGCAGTCTTCACACCTGAGCACTCACTCACCTTCGGGGGGAACTTTTATACCCTACCGCATCTTGGGTCCAGTCTCCGGGTACTGGCTTTACAGGCTAAGTTTAACTTTGTTTTCAGTAATGAATCTATAACGAAACAAGATTATTTGAACTTTCTTGTTATGTTAGAGGCATGCAAGAATACAATGGACTCTCAGCAAATGGCCAGCGTTGCTTCAAGTGGTATAGGATGGGGGATTACAGACCAGCATCAAACTCGGAAGGCTGTGTCCAATATTCGTTGGGGTGGACAGGATTTCTGGGCGCTACAACAGAAGTTACGACTATTAATCTGGGACATACAAACCAAAGGACATGCCAAGTTTGACTAGAACTTTAAATTCTAGACTAGGCCTTCAGCCACAGGACAATAAAACGGTCTAAATCAGCTAATTAAAGGTGCTAAACAAGCTTTAAATAATATTAACGATCTTTAAGCGTCAATTTGAGCAACATCAGGCTATACATGAAAGGCAGATTAAAAGCTAAAACGCTCTACTAAGCAGATTACTTTAAAGAAGACACATCAGTATATGAAGCCCGAATTCTTATAGAACGTCGAAATCAGGCAGATGAAGCCATACAGGTGGATAGGGCTCAACCTACAGAATCGGGTTCTAGGTGCGCCCCATCAAAATTTTCTGGCTGTGGTGTACGGGGTCATAAAATTACGTACCGTCCGAATCGATCGAACTACTTATTTTAATACAGAGGTCTAAATTCATGATGTTTTGACTATTTAAACTTTGTATCTGGCGGTTGGTGTGCGGGTCGCCTACCGGTTATGTTGACATCCATTCCTGCAAGATTCCCTAAAATAATTGTCTACCTCGATCACCTACCTTACCTAGATGGCCAAGGCAACGCGTTCAGATGATGTAGAAATCTAGGCTTGGCAGCGCGGTCAAATAATCTTGAAATCTAAGTATTGCAGCACATTTAAGCCCAAACTTATCTGTAATACCAGTAATAGAATCTATAGATCTTACAGACCAATCAGAAGACGTGGACTGATTAAGTAACTTTCTTCTAAATAAAGCGGCCAATAATGTCCCGGATGAATTCTCGTTCAATGAAAAGTCAGATACATCAGCCAATCAGAATGCAGAAACTGAAAACACGTCCTGTATACTTTTGCTACACTTCGCTCCGCTGCGCAATAATAAGGGAGGCGGTGCATTAGATTACAGTTGCAAACCTTTTTGCGTTCCACTGCAACATGACCTCAAAAATTTGTTAACATCAGGTTCTGCTTCTATATCTTTCAAGGATCTTTACTCAGAATGCCTAGAGCTATTGATCTATTTCGGTATAAGGAGATTATCATATCTCAATTTCAAGATGCTATATCTGCAGAGTTTATAGCGGAATATCTGTGGGAGACTTATCAGGTACAAGTAACAGAGAAAACAATTCGACGACGGCTTCTTCAATGGGGAATAAGTCGACATAACTATCTAGAGGATACCCCTGAGCTTCGTGCCCGGATAGCTGGATTATGCTACAACTTTGGCTTTTCTGATCCAGATATTATTAATATTTTCAAAAAGGAGGGTTATCCAATCACTTCCTGGAATCTTACGTCTCTAAGAAAAAAAATGGGGCTGAAAAGAAACTTCGATCTATTACATCGAGAAGAAGCCGATAAAGCTCTTTTTGAAGCTGTTCAAAAAGAGTTAGATAAGGGTGATATTGAAGGTTTAGGACGTGATCATCTCTATACATATTTCCAGATACATGGACATAATATCGCACGGTACAGCTAAATCTCTTTATTACAGCGATATTTTAATAGTAATAAATATATTAATAGGGATTGTCTGTTTGTTACAATTCAGAAATCAGACCCTTTAGGTGTTACACGTCGTATAGACACTCTTCACCAGTATAGAGGAGCATATATTGTCCCAGGTCCAAACTATCTCTGGTCTATTGATGGATTTTGTAAGCTACAATATTGGGGAATTGAGGTATATGCAGCAATTGATGCATACTCTCGTTACATTATCTGGATACATGTTGGTGTTTCCAACCAGACTACTGTACGTATTGCTCAGCAGTATCTTCAGACAGTCAAGACACAGAGCCTCTTACCTCAGGTAATACGTGCGGATCAAGGGCTTGAGGCGCCGCTGATAGCTGCTGCACATTATAAACTTGTTAAGCAAACTCAACCAAAGATCGAGCTTAATGAGTGTTTTCAGTATGGAACAAGCACTGCAAACCAAAAAGTCGAAGCTTGGTGGGATCAGTTAACTAAAGGCTCAATTTATCGTTGGCAGGTATTACTATTCCAGAACTCCTACTATAATCTCTTGAATTTGTACTAATTCTATATAGGGGTATTTTCAACATTTAGCAGCGACTAAAAGATTTGATGAGCACCTCTGTTCTGATAAGATTGCAATACTTGCAGTCTATCTACCTCTTGTACGCTGTAGTATACATGAATTTGCTCGCCTATGGAATGTTCATTCAATTCGCCGTCAAAGTCTCCGTCCTGATAGTGTTTCGGGGAAGGCAGTTCAGTTATATTTCTCTCCGTCCGATGATATACAAGACCATGGTATAGAGTCGCGTACCGAAATACTTGAGGATTTAGAAACCAAGATCGGAGAACACGGTATGTATTTGTGGTTAATACCTGCTTACTATTTGAGTCAGCATACTAACAGATAATCTAAGATATTAATCAGTATCTACCAGAGACTACACTAAACTGGTGTAAAGAACAACTGAAGCAGCTCGGCTGTAAAGATGGGATAATCGGAGGTTCAGCTATCTTCGCTGATGGTTCTCAGGCTCATGAAGAAATCTATCTACAACTACGTGATAGGATCAGAGTTCATATGCAGTCAGGGGAATTACCAGTTCTCAGTTTACTTCCAGCACCAGCAAATAATGGGTTTATTGGAAGTGAACTACAAACGGAGAACGCAGAGGAAATGGATATACACAATGAGGGACCCGATGAAAAAGGTTATTAAGTAGATATCATACCTAGCTGTACATAATATAGATCATTCATTCTAAGTGGTCGGTTCTGATTTCTAACTTTCTGAGGTGCACGCTGATAATTCCAGCTAACTAGTAATGGCCAGCAACTACTGATATCAAAGTTGCCAATCAAAGAGGGATGTCAACCAGGTGGCGCAGCAGATACTCAGCATACTGTACTCTGTAGGTAGTAAAATAATCAATTGTGAGCATTGGTAGAAGATGGAAGTAAAAGGTAATGCGTGGCCGAATGTAAAACGGCGAGATTACGGTAAAATTGCTCAAAATTCGATATATTGTCCGGAAGCTCGATTTAATTTAAGTTAGTTCACATAGAATGACGGATTCTACAAGGCCATCACAACTCCTTCAAGTGCATTACCTTTTCGTTCCCCGCAGATCGTCATGCGGGGATAGTTGACAATCGGATCTGTCCTCCGACCCTCGCCGGACCGAGATCGAGGGCATCAAAGCTCGCCCGTTCTCGGGCCGCAATTGATGATGTATGATTAAATAAACCACTCTTGACGTTCAAGAGCATTTACCAACTTGTCAATGTGATGAATACCTTCGGACGTGCCAGCCATCGAAAACATGGGAATTAACGCTCAATTAACAGTTGCCGTTATCGGCTGTGGTATGGAATTTGCTATCATAGCCGCCTTTTCAAGTACACGGACAGTGCTGACACTGTTTCTGAGCAGGAACACTGGGAACTGCAATTACTGCCGGTATTCTCAGTCCAACAGAAACGACTGACCTCGGAGTCAAGCATATTACCGCGACCGTTGGAACCGAACCGTCCAAGCAGCGGGTTGAAAATACCCTATCTCAACACTCGTCACGCCTCATAGTCCTTACCCAAGAGGAAAATGTCCGTGCAGTGCGGGAAGCAGATGTGGTATTGCTGGCTATGAAGCCTGTCAAGAGAACAGACGTTTTTGCCGCACCAGGGTTCAAGGAAGCTTTGCAAGGTAAACTCGTCATCAGTATCATGGCAGGTATCACCACCAAAGCATTGAATAGCCTAGCCCTCGGTGAAGACGCTGCCTCAAACAGTGGACGTGCGCTCCAATGCGTGCGTGCAATGCCCAATATGGCGGCCAAGATCCGAGAGGCCGTGACATTCTACACTGCTGGTCCCGGCACAACGAAGGAGAACCTCGAGATTGCGTCCTGGGTATTTAGTCAAGTTGGGGAGGCGCAGAGCATCCCCGAAAGTTCTTTTGATATCTGTGCAGTTTTAGTTGGTTGTTCTGGCTCCCTCCTGCTCCTCGCGATCGATGGGCTACTGGATGCTGCCGTTGCGGAGGGCGTGAAGAGGCCTGATGTGCAAAACCTGGTGGTAAATAGTGCAATTGGGATGATGAAGCTGGTACCTGCTGGAGATCACCCGAGTGTTCTCCGAGAGAAGATTGCTTCTCCCGGAGGTTGCTCTATCCGAGCTCTCCTCGAGTTGGAAAAGCTGGGTGTTCGCTCGGCGTTTACGACTGCTATCATGGCAGCAGCGGAGAAGTCTAAACGCATGTCATCGTCTTGAAATCTTGGTACTTGCAAGGTCGACCGAAACTGTATCTTGAATCCCTTGGCAGTAAAGAGTTTAGTTTTGTACAACGCTTTTACCATCGCTGACCTAGCTGTAATAATGTAAGGCCCAAGGAATTGAGGTCGCAGTGTATATTCTGCCCCCATAGGTAGCTTAACATTGTCTCAACGAGTACCGGCGTCCAATTAATCTTCCAAAACATAAACGTTGAAACTTTTTTGTCGGCATCGACGAGTCTCGGGGTTCACTTCCGGCTGCCAAGATCCATTTACTAATATATAAAAGGAGCCAAAGCACCCCAGCCCACACGTCAAACCCCACCTTATAGCATTCAAAATTCCCATCTCCATCTTATTAATCCCTTCTTTCTGCTCAGTTGATTCATACTACGTAACGTACTATGTCAGTCGTCCAAAAGCCTGTTCATTTAGCGTTTCTCGGCTGCGGTGAGCTGTCTCTGTTATTCTTTTTCCCGCCCATGCCGAAGCTAGAATGGTGATTTGACAATTGTTTCAGGCCATATTGGCAAAGCCTTACTTGGAGTTCTACTTCCATGGGTGGCTCAGCCTGGTAGTCCTATTTCCGAGATCACTGTTGCTCTTCGGCGTAAAGAATCCGAAGCGCGGATTCGGGATCTGTTCCGCAGCAGTCAAGCTCCGGTGAACTTTCTTTCCTGTCAAAATATCAACGCAGTGAAGAATGCCGACGCGGTTCTTTTTGCCTTCCCACCGGAACAGGTACATGACGTCCTTGGGACAATTGAAATGCGCGAAGCCTTGCGAGGCAAAATTCTCATCAGCATTCTGGCGAGAACACCTCGAGATGAACTCAAACGATTAATCGGCGGGAATGACAAGGCCGAGGGTCTCGCGACGAAAGACATCCGACTCGTTCGTGCAATGCCAACTATAGGAACCGAGATTCACGAATCAGCGACTCTCATCGGCGAGCTCAGTAGCCCGGTGGAGAAAGAGGCAATGGAATTGGCGATGTGGATATTCAATCTAGTTGGGAAGGTTTTTAAAGTCTCGCATGATTATTTCGATACCGCAACAGGGATGAGCGCATTCTGCAACGCGCTCACAACGGTAGCAATACAGACCATAACACGAAAGGCTATCGCTGAGGGTATTCCAGTCGAGAATGCTATTGCCATAGCTTCCCAATGCGTTCGAGGAACAGTGAGCATGGTCTTGTCCGGTACCAGTCCTGAGAAATTGGAGTATTCATTATCCGCACCGGGGAGCATAACCGGGCAGGCGATATCAAGACTCAAAGACAGCCAACTGCCGGCTCTTCTTGAGTCTTCGCTCTCTGCAGCTATTACGAAGGCCAAAAGTTAAGCAGCTATAGTTTTCAAAGTCGACTGATGGAAGCTTTCGTGTGATCATCGAGAACTCATGATATGTCGGGATGCTGAGACAGATTTCCCGTACTGCTTGGTACACAAATGAATTAAAACATGTAGATAATTGTAACATCAGTCGAGAGCACCAAAAATAATTATTGTTTTCATTGACAATGTACGAATGACTGTACATTCATCAGTCCGGGCTGAGTTACATCGATCTGTGCGGCGCTGTTCATACCATTACCATCACAAAACATGGAGCTGGTCAGAGCCACACTGCAACGGAAGGTAACGGGTTTCCTTGGGGTCTCACTATTTACTCCAAAGTACTTTGATGTATTCAGACCAGATGTAATACATCATAGACCCACTGAATACTAGGACAACTTATCACATTTATACCCAAGTGAATACTCATAATATAGAACTCGTAATATAGAAGTGTAAAGCCGAAATGGCGCGATTTCAAATTATATATATACTTTTTATGATATATCGTTGTGCATCATCGAGACACTTGAATATTTTCACCCTTGTTCCACCCTAACGATATAACAACATTGTCAATAATAGGAAACTGTGGATATTAACACGTACAAATCTTACAACCCGTCCTGAACTTGATGTTGGCCCATCCGCGTGGAAGCTTCTTGAGGTTGGTTCTGAGGCAACTGCCCTAATTTCTGACCTGGTACCCTACTATAGTATGCGTGGCTGTCTATATCTCACTAAGTGGGGCCGGTGAAACCTCAAATGAATGGATACAAGAGGTGGGCCAGGCGACGCTCTGGTGTGTATACGTATGAGTGGAGAGGTTGACAAGGGCAAACAAGGTCAGGCAAACCTCTTCGCTTGAATATTACTTGTCTACTTGGACAGGGTTTACGACAGTGCCACAAGGGTGTAACTTGACCCGCAATGTCCTAGCTAATCAGCTGACAATAGGACGTCTTTGTTCTGATTAGGTAGCATTCATTTTCCCCGCTTCCCAACGGAAAAAGGAAGAAAATATAATTCGGGTGTTAGGAGTTGGCAAAATATATTCCAATGCTCACCTTTCAGAACTTCTCAATCTCTCAATTTCCTCTGTGATTGTGCCCCGTCAAACTTAGAGCCGGGTAAAAAGCACATTTTTTAACTCACCTCATCACTACATTCAGCTTTTTAGCTCTAACCCTTCAAAATGTAAGTAAAGTCTTCCCAAATGAGTATGTCATGGCTCGAGGATACGTGCTGATTCCTCAACCGCGATAGGAAGTAAGTGAACTGTCAATATTTTAATTATGAAGGACTGACCATTGTCAATATATCTAGTCTGTAAGTTGTACTTTAATTTGTTTTCAATTTTCGATCTGAGCTCACTCTATTGTCATTGATAGTTTGTGAGTAATTTCTTCAAGAAAAATATAACAGAAAACCAAGCCTATCATATGTTGGCAATAGTCCTGACTTCTTTTTATTACTGGAAAGATTGTAAGTGGTTCCCTTCATCAGCTACCCTTCCGCAAACCAAATACTAACATTGACCTCTCATTCCAAGCGTGTAAGTAATCTCACCGGTTTGAACGAAACTGTACAGGTAACAGAGATTATCGCTAATCGTGCTGATGGATTGCAGAGTGTAAGTATACTCGGATGGCTTCAAAATATATAACAATGCAATATCAAGCACTAGGGCTAAGTGACTCATTTTTAAGCATGTAAGTGAAATCGCCCGGACTTGGATTATAGTAAATTAATTGTTCCATTCATGGTATCAGGGAGTAAGTTATTTTGTATGCGATCTCCAATATAGAATCGATGGCTAATGGCACTCTAACCCTTTAGCCTGTGAGCATGTTCTCTCTAAATTAAGATCCAAGAGACTTACTGATTGATGCCCATTTCTTATTCCATGAAGAATGCAAGTATTCCTGTCGATATACCAAGTTGTATCTTTCTAATACTGACGCTTGTACCTTAATCCTGTTTCAGTGTGTGAGTGGACTCCAACAGTGTACACCACGTTTGGGGAAACCACTAATGAGCTTGGAATTTTTCGACGCGTATAGAAAGTAAGTTCCTTGCTTTAGTCAAAACAAGAAACTTTGGGTAGTTGGATGAAGGACTAACCATCTGCTTTGAATATTGCTAGCCTGTGAGCACCCTTGAAATGAAGCATATTCCATCTAAATAAGATTACATTTACTGATTCGGCCTTCACATAGTCTGTATGCTGCTTCCTTGAATGAAGCTTGTGCGGGTTACGATGCTAATGGCTGAAATAGGAAGAAGTCCGAGGTGAGGTCTGAGACAAAAAGAGAGGAAGTGACTGGAAGAGAAACATCTGAGTGTATGTAAATGAAGACAAATGTTACCGACAATCTATAATGGTGACTTACCGTACCTGGACCTTATTAGACAAATCCGCGAATTCCAAATGAGTGAGTTGGCCGACGGCGAATCTTATCTGATCGCGTGCGACAAGCTTCACTGAGGGGTGCAAGTGACTAACGAGGCTTCACAGGCGAGTGTCACCTTCTTGCACCTCATTACCATCAGACTTGATCTCGTTACTTCTCGCAATTGCATTTTTTCATTCATTATATCCTTTATCTTCCTATAATAGCTGAAATTGGTCCCTTGGCGGATTAAGTCTTTCAACACGATTATAACCCTAAGACTGTAGACGACTCTCAACCCAGGATCACCTAAGACCCGCGATAAAACGAGTCTTGCTTATAGTGGAGAGGCTATGTATCCGAATCAGCGAAGTATTACGCACGAAAATAAAAGTCAAGGATCTAGTTCTAGTACCTGCACGGTGACTATAACTCAAATTCTTCAATTAAGCCTCATTAAACCAAACCATGCTGTTCGATTCCAGCAGACGCGTATGCTCTTGGCTCAAAGCTCCAGCTTCATTCTCCTCGAACCAGAAAGCCCAGGTGCTGCGAGTGTTGATTTCCAGATTATCCCGGCTCGAATGAATACCAGCATATTGAACCTGAGGAGGTGCAAGGGCGTAACGATGTAGCTTTTTCTGATCTGTGTATTCCTTGATTAGAGAGTCTGTTTGTCCAGATCTTCACTCATGCAAGAATTCAATCAAGTCTGGCACTTGATCTCGTGGGAAAACCATTGCCTGCGTACAGCAGCCGTATTTTTCCATTTCCACAACACTTTGCATGGGAAACAAGCTATACTTTCCTATCCTAAATGCCAGTCCCGTAAATGCTGGAACTGTGACGACGCATATCACCACGATGGCGCGGACATCCAAATATCGGCGTGATGAACCCCATAGGGATCTAATAATCATGAGAACGCCGAATGACATGGTGACCATGATGAAAAATAACATATTCATATGGCGGTACCAAAAGTCATCTTCGCTCCAGCTAAGTGCCGTTTCTATATAGAAGAGTCTTAAATATATCCAACCATGGCCGTGTGTATTCAACCCAGATCGGTCTTCAATGTTGAAAAGCCCTTGAAGAGCTTTAGCGAACCATCCATCAGCGAAGATAATATCATCTTCGAAAATTCCAATATAAGGGGTTTCTGTATTATAGCAGGCGTTGAGGGCATACAAGGGCCTGAATGCTACGTATCTCAGTTATTGATTGCGAGAAAGCTTGTCACTGCTCCGTCTTGTGGGCGTAGACGTTCAGCGACTCGAGTGGGCTGCATAAAACCCTCAGACGGTCGATCGTCGTAGGTATCAGTGTTGCCTTGGGCCTGCTAGTGCAGACTAAATGACGAACGGCCAAGGCTACCCTCAAGATCTAGTAATCAGATCAAGTTAAGGTAAATGGTACCATACAATATTTATCCCTGTATAGTTCTAAAATGCGTTATTTTCCAGCCCTGGTTAGGTTACATTGGCTAAGAAATATGGATAGACTATAACTATTATCCTAGTTTATATACTCATCTCAAGTTTGGTTTAAGTTAGGGATGGATTATATGTCGGGAAAATATACAGTCTAATTGGATACTTTAGATATAATCTAGATTGCGATTTAATTTATTGTAATACACCTTCTATCTCCAGCTAACTGCTATAATCTCTCTCCTTGTCTATATTATAAGACTAGCAATAGAAGATATAATTAATTATAGTAAACAAATCAATAACAATAAGAGATTACAGTACCGCGGTTTATAGATAGATAGATAAAGGACCATATTATCTCTGAGTCTCTATTTTATTATCTATTTCAATTTTGTTGTATTATCTGTTTATCAAGTTTCTCTACTCTCAATTAAATATCGTAACAATGAAGTTAACCAAGACTCTCATTGCGTTATCCAACTTTTATACAATGGTATGTATATGGCCTACCTAAGGGATCGATATATTAATATTCGAATTATAGACTGCTGGTCTTGTTGCTGCTCCTCTTGATGGATACAATATTATGATTCCTGAATGGGAGGTTGAGATCTCTCTTGGAAGATCTACTGTGCGCCTAAATGGCACAATCCAGGAAGTCCATGAGGCACTTCTCAAGCTGAATCCCAGCTGGAATGAGCATTATATGAAGGAAATGCCACAGGAGAGCTCAGAGGTTACTCAGCCTGCCGACAGCTTCACTCTGGAGAAACGCGCCGACTTCAGCAATGACAAATATCTCTGCCGTGGTAGGTGGGCAGAATGCAGTGCGTCCGCTGCTAGCAATGGTGTGCATTATTTAAGGTTCGTACAAGGTTGGCCTACAAATGGGCCTGGACCAGGGAACTGTGGCCGAGTGAGTTGTTCTTATAAGTCTGCGATCAGGTGGTGCAATGACGTGAGTTCCTCCTAAATAATGCATTATGCAAACAAAGGCTGATACCACTATTTTGTTACTAGAATGCCAGCGCAAAAAGGCTCGGGGGCTTTAACGACATCGCTGATGGTGCCCAATACATCCTCGACAAGTGCACGCGAAATCGTTGGTCCGGCTGGCAATACGGGGAGTTTGCTTCTGGTCAGGCCTTCCATAAGGACAATTGGAATGTTATTGTTAGATATGACGATAATAGCTGCTAAGGCAATAGCTTCGATATAGGCTACGATGCCAAGCGAAGTAGGGAGCGAGAAGGACATATCTCATCGATGGTTTGGCTTGGTAGCAGTGGCGAGTACTGCTCGGGCGGTTTTATAAATCGACTATCACAGTAAATCGGATATAATAGAGGAGTAACCAAGAATTCAAAAGACTAGTCCCTCATATTAGTGACATTTTCATCATTCAGAGAATATGCCAGTGTGTGAATCTATTCAGGTAAAATTTGGAAGTGAAACCTGCCACTCCAGGTTATCTCGAGCGTAGTGTGTAGTGCATCCCCTAGCTCCTTCCTGGAATGATGTCTTCGAGTATCTCTATAACAACCTTCCCTGCGAGAGATGCTGCTCTAGCCTTTTATGATTAGTGCGATGTCTCCCCCTAACTATGATGATGACTCCTCTATCAGAGTTACCTCCGATGACTATATTGCTCCTATTATTATTGTAGTGTTATTCGATGTGGTCTGGTCACTAGTTATGTTAGGTATCAGGGTACATTTATGGTTCCGTCTGAAAACCCCCTATTTGGTGTCGATAATGCAGTCTCAATATTCGGAACGGTATACTTATCCACCTATTAAAATTACTACAAGATAGAGAATGTCGCAGGCTAACGGTCTGGTCTGGTCTCGTAAGATTATTGGACTAGTACAAATATCTCGTACGCTCTATACGGCATTCCGCGGTATTGGCGTCGAGGACGGGTTAAAATTTGGGTATCTATTTTACTCCCAGGCTGTATCTACAACTTGGTGGTACTGGTTTACCAGGATGCTAACTGCTCTGGGCGAAAATAGGGTGTTTACATAGCGTGGATTTTATACCCTATTGCTATATGCTCCTCCAAGAGTTCCTTGGTATTCCTCATAGCACGTGTTACGATAGCGAAGCTTGAACTACAAGTAAGTTATTTGCTGGCCGGCATAGGCATTGGCTGGGGGCTTGTCTCTATTATTCTGTATGTAAACTGCCTATGTCTTCGGATTCTGGGGTACACTATTGTGATAGTATGGTATATTCTACTCTCCATTCATTGCTCTTGATGATAGGGCAATGTGTTTTAATACAAGTCATCCTCAAGTTTATTCGATGGACAGTGGTCGAGACGGGTAATATGATTATCGAACTTCTTATCCCCGGTCTGATTCTTAGGGTGATTTGGAACCTTCAAGCACGATTAAAGATAAAAATAACAGTTTTAGTGGTATTCTCTATGCAGCTACTGTAGATAACCCCACCTCTTTTTATAATATAGTGTTTCTGGGTTACTTCTGACAGATAATTATACTGTTATATTTTTCTGTAGAGTTATACTTTCTATAGTATTTCGATTAACTTTTCTCCGAAAAGTCACTATGGAAAAGCTTCTCAATGATCAAATGCTCATAATTATACATACAGTTATAGTCATAGAAGTAGCAATGCACTTTTCCTTGATCCCAACTACCTTCCTATGCCTACGCAAATTCCTGCAAGTATTTGATTCGAATATGTCCGTAATCCTCCACATGAATACTGACCCAGATGACCCAAAAAATACTGAGTTAAATGGAAGCTACGGACCGAGGTCATTAAAACGGCCATCGCATTGTAAAGGGGTCAGCTTCGAACGGTTGTCTCGGTATAATAATCGATACTATTGTAAATACCAACCTCCTACCATGACAACAATTTTGGCTGGTGTGGGTGATTCCAGTGCCTCTCCAGAGGGGAATGAAAGGTCGGGAACGCAATGCACAATTAATACTGATGTGGAAAGCGGAAGTATCGAGAGCGACGATAGTCAGCTTGCTATAATCAGGCGGACACAGCATAGGGAAGTTACGGTAGAGTTGGGAGGAAAAATGATATTAAAATAAGACTCGCATTTTTGAGGCATTTCTGGATAATATGATAATTGATTTCTTATCTCCATCAAGGATAAATCTCAATTGGCCAACCATCGCATAAGGCATATGTGAATTGAGGAGTAGATTCACCTTGCTTCATCGCACTGTGAAAAAGGAAATACATAAAACTTCGGCCGATGACCGAGTACTCTTTATTCCGAGGTGTTTTGCTTATTTAGCCGATCGTACTGTTCTTGATTTTTTACATGAGATTGATAGCACAAGATGCTGGGCAGTAATTGGGAACATACAAAGCTCCAGGGGGTGGTTTGTTCCTCTCTGTTGACGGTTGACGAATGTTTATAATGGGAGCTGTTGAGGAAAATAGTCTGAGACGGATGCAGCCCTCGGCATTTTTAATCCGTAGCAACGAACCCCAACTCTTTGATCCACACGGTGTTGTCACATGACCAGTATTCTCTATGTTCGGGCGGGGTCTATCTTTAGCACTCAATTCCAAACAAAAACATTCAGTAGAGCTTGGTTCGAGAAACGCACCCTTACCTCTACGCATGGTAATAATATAAGCTGCCTTCCCTTCTATCATTCATTCAACGGCCATCTTATTTCTTTGATGTATCTTTGATAATGTTGAAACCCATCCTGTTTACGGAAGAGAACTCCGATACTCACTCTTATCGTCTATCTCAGTACCTCTCTGAGCAAGCTTATCGTTTCGCTTGCGATAGAAGTGCTTATAGACTTGAAAAGGTTGTCTATTAAGGGGCTATACAAGATGTGTTGTATGAGGTGGAAAACAATAAGGTATAATATAGTGCTATCCACAGAGCTGAAGAAATTCATAGGTAAGATGGGACTCATGGTTATCAAAAAGTAGTAATCGAACTTCTTTTTTAGAGATACGGCACTTTGTGTGGCGGTGGAAGTGTTGAATCCAATCAAGGCCAATCTTATCTGAAGTATAGCCTTTACGAGATAGAGCTATTCGATATTCGTCAGGAATATCTGCATCGTACCATTTCTCCAGATGATGTACGCCTTTGAAAATAATGTATGGAGGAAGAACAAAACCGTCTGCTGCAATACACTCTATTGCAGACATCAGTTTACCCATTTCTTTAGATGGATTCCCTCTTGCAGCTCGTAGAGGTATAGTAGTTACCCTTTTCAGTCTTTCCTTGTCCTAGTTGGAACCCTGTCTCATCAAAATTGTATATATTTTTAGGATGAATCCGCTTGATGAAGGGCTCTAAGCAGTTGTACTAGTGTCGAAGAACATCTATGTCCTCTGTATCTCGACGATTCCTGTCTTTTGGCTTCTGTTGAATAAGCTTGAATTCCTCCGGGAGACATTTAATAAAGCGACAAACACAGTTCTTGTCATCTGTGCGAGGTAACCTGTCGGTTGTATTCCGTTGTAGTATTTGGTTGGCACTCTGCTCAATCATTCCAGCCGTAGGAGGACAGTATAGATTATCTAACTGACGAATCCAACAGATTAGTGCCTTTTCTTGTGAGTCACCAAGGGTCTTGGTTGAGATAGAACGTGTATTTCGAGTAGCTTGGCCATGAATACGTGCTCTGAGTCGATAATAAGGAACGTTAAAGGACACGCCAACGCAGAAATATTTGGTTTTCTTTTGGCCTTGAGTAGCTGTACAGGCCTCTAAGATTCGTTTCTCAGTATCAGAATAAGAATCAGGCATGGTGGTGGTGATAAAAACTCTGAATAGCTTCAAATTTTGCGTTAAGTGGGAATTTGCGTTGAGGTGAGGCAGACCGACACGCCGAATGGCGGGTCGGTCTGCTGACCTAAGAGACGGCTATTCACTGACCTGCAACCTGAACCTGTTAATATACTCACCCGTTCGGGCGATATTAATATCTATTCCACTCACTACGCCCTGATACTGTGATACGCAGACTGTTCCTTCTATGTGAGCCAAGAAATTTACCAGCCATTCATGGAATTAATAAGATAAAGTATATTTTTGGTGCTGACAGGAGATCCTCCTTATGGGTGGTGGATAATTTAGAATACTGCGGGTATATGGGGCCGAAGCACAGGTTACTAAAAGCAGGGTGTAACATGATGACGAGATTGATTCTGGCAGAAAAATACTAATATATATTCCATCGTAGGCCTTATTTCAAACCTCTGTTATTCTTGTGATGTCCTAAACTAGTGAATTCCGTACACTCGTAACCCTACCTTAAGGCCTCCCACGGCCCGCCTTGGAGCGGGGGTGTTTATCCGGATTAGAAAAAGGGTAAATGGCGGAGGAGTCTGTATAACCATACCGAGGCAGTGCCAGAACTCGCTTAGAGAACCAATCCTAATAATAGTTTTAGAATAGCCAGACAGCGGTCCTGCTGCAGCTGCATACAGGGACAATCACACTTCATTGAGAAGCTCCCGGCCAGAGCCAAAATATGCCCTACATTCCTCAACATAAACGGCAGATGCAATTGAAAACATAGCCCCCTTGACTTTAGACAGTTTGCGCAGGACAGTACGTCAATATTAAAGATCATAGGCTCCGGCCGTGGTTATTCGCCCCAGATCTCTCTCTTGGCCAACGCTGATCATGGTATGCAGAGGAGAATGCATGAGATATTAACTCACAAAAGGAGTTCTATTGGTGCTTGTGGAGTATCTGCAGAGCTAAATATATTAGAGTCGCAGTGTTACGCTCTCAGACACCATATATGCGTGATTGACTGTCAGTGACATGGTCTTCGGTTAGAAACATAGCCACGCCCAACTTAACCTTGCAATATCAATTTCCATTGAATGGAGTGAGGATAGATTTCACAAATGCTGTTCCAAGTGCTCCAAATTAACATCTCAGAATTAGCGTGATGAAGGGTTTATAAAAGGAAGGAAGATTCCTGTGAAGTTGATTATCAGTCTACAATTCAAGGCAATATCACAACAATCTCCCAGACAAGACACCTCAGTATTCAACTACGAAATATTTATATGTATGATCTTCTCTTCTCCCTTCTAATTTCTAAGGCATAAACTGATCAAAGTCCAGTCCGCGGTTCAAAATGCGTTTCACCACCATTACTATGTCTTTCCTCGTCGCCCTTCCAAGTGCTCTAGCCGCTAGTATTCCTGCTCCGCACACCTTCAACACCCCTGTCCTCGACAAACGTGACCGCGCATGTAGTTATGTGGATGACTGCAGGACCAACTGTGCCGCCTTTGGGGGCACCCCCGGCAGTCAATTGGCTCAGGGCCTTTGCCTTGCTACGTGCGGTGATTCATGTGGGTGTGGCCCGACTGAGGTTTGCAACAATAAGGAAGCTCTCGAAAACATTTGCAAGAGCTTCAAGGAGAGTGACGTTCCCGAAGAACAGGTTGCGGTACCACTCTTTTGCTATCTCGCGGGCCAGGAGTAGTCATCAAAGGCCAGGGGAATACATATATCTTGTTCTACTTGATTTATGGGAAGGAAAGCTTCTGCAGGGTTTTTTCTATGTATGTCTTGGAAGCTTATTCCTGCTGTCTATGTATTTACACTTGTGTGGGAGTTCCTCGATTTGGGACTTAATTAGTAAATATTAATCTTGTATCAGTTTCACTAGATGGGGTCCAGGTTCCGCAGTGTTCGCCCACAACGTAATTTTCTTTATTAAGGATTCACTTTTGTCGGCAAATGCGAAAGCTGACGAGGTAAAGCAAGCTATGTAACGATATCTCAGCCATAGTTATGGTCCATGGTTGCTGATCATTGATAATGCCGTCTCAATACTGTTTTTCCCACTGCAGAGCAAGGTTTTATCCTTACAACTCATACAAGCAGCTAGTGACAATACCAATTAGTCTCTATGTCTCGCTTCTTGAGAACAAAAAGAGCAATGGAACGAAGATTCTTAGCCAACAATTCAGGGATAAGTAGAAATATCATTGCAAGTACTATCTTGGATACAAAGTAAAAGGAGGATTCTATATCCTAAATGATTTATTGTATCGAGTAATACCATAGGCCAAATCGTGACTAGACTTAGACACAACGCCACAATATGTTCTCCTGAAAATATCAAAGTGCATTGATCTACTCTTTATTAATCAGAATATTAAATTTAAGCCTTGAATTCTATCAAATGGTGATGTGGTTGCTTGTTGAAGTTGATAAATTTTTATAGGTTTGATTTTCCTGGACACGAGATTAGCCAATCATATTTTTCCGTATTTCTGGCGGTTATATGACGAGAATCGCTACCTATCCCACTATATAGTATTACTTTTTGTCTACGACAGTGACAAATCTGCTAATTAACAGCAGTATACTTTCTTTAATAAGATATCTATTAAGATACCGATCGGGCCACTGAGCTTCGAACTAGCATTTAGTATACTGTATACTACTATTGTTTAGATAAGTATAGGGTCTAAAGTACTATCCCAGCTCCCTGACCCAGCATTATTCCATAAGCTGTGACCACAGCCAGTCCAAAGCAACCGCCCGCGGGGTAGAGATATGGTCACGGTGTGTGGATCCCGTTGCACGAGAGCAGATGCTCGTTTACTTTCTCCCACCCGACGCGCCCTGGGAGCTGTGGGAAATCATTCTGGAACAGGTGCAGATGTCTGGACTACAGCATTTCCATGGGGTTCAGATCCTGCTACAAGCCAAGAATCTCAAGACCGTGACTAAAGATATTATCTGGCAATAAATGATAGACCGGTTTGAGCGGTATTGGCATCATGCGATCCAAGAATCCTATGCCATCACTGGGTTTTTCTTTGATATTGGGAAAGAAGTCTGCCTATCAGGCACCTCCAGGGTTGCCTTGCAGCAGACCTTATTTAGTTCTCTTTTACCCGCCCCCGAGGGGAGCCAAGCCCAGACCCTTCTCTGGCGACGGTGCTGTCTTGAGTCCTATGTCGCCTGGGCCCCGACAGCACAGGGCTCGGTAAATAATAGATTTTATAAGATATTCTATTCTATGAGTCTGTTACAAAACACTGGCAATCTTACTATAGAAACCCATACAGTCTTCTGGGGTCGGCGGGCTGGGCTTCTTTACAGTCAATTCTACTCGAGTGTAAAAGAGGTCTTTGCGGCTGGGAATGTCTACCCCTTTACCAATACTGCTATTGAAAGTCTGGCTCTGGATCCTAAACTACGGAAGACATGACAGGCAGTGGGTGGTGGCCTGAGCAATGATCCCATTGCTCTAACACGGGCATATCTATATACCAAACAGCGATGCCATTGTGTATTGCAAGAATTACCGGGTAAGTCATTTGGAACTCGTGAGGAGCACCGGGTGTCCTAGTCTCTCCTAGAGCAGATCCATCTAGAGTTCCAGAGCCGCCAGCTCCACCAGGTGGTGCTCCCCGCTACGTCAGTGCTGCTCTGGCAGGAGATATTCCTCTCTGTTGGCCTAGTGTGGAGGCCATCCTCCGGGATAACTACCGTGACATCCCAGTGGCCTGCGGGAACCGGCTGGCTGTCAAGAGCGTGGAGGTTCTGTTCTGCTGGCTCTGGGAATGGCGAGATGGCCGGTTTCAACGAAAGGGCTGGGATTATAAGCCGTACCGCATGCTGTATCAAAAGAGTTTTGAGATCATTACCCTCGTTCAAGGTAAGGATGCCACCCGTCAGTGGAAACAGTCCCTCCGGACCTCTTTTATTCAGAGCCACTGGCTGCTTTCGTACCCACAAAGCCAAGGCTTTATGCGGAAAGATAAGGAAACAGGGCAGTTTTTGTGGCGGTCCAGTGTCCACCGAAGGCCTGGCTCGCTACTATCGGCAGCTATACGGTCCATTGCCTCCTGTGCTTCCAACATCATCCATAAAGCATCACCCACGAACTCATTGGCAGCGGGCGGAGATTTCATTGGATTTTATAAAGTATAAGGTCCAACCTGAACAACGCTTTGTAGGTAATGATAAGGAAATAATATATTATTGGGCAATTTATAGCAGCAAGACGCTAAAGTGTGGCAAATTGCCACAGTATACTAGCATTGAAGTGAACATGCCAGAGTATCATGTTAACTAAAGTACTGAGAGTATAAAGAAACCGTTGAACGCAGACCCTTCTTTTAATTAGATTGGAGAATCTAAATAGTAGAAAAGGATAAGATGGAAATGACTACACAGTAGGTGCACGAAACCCCATAATACACACTCGTCCATCTGCATACCCAAGGGCAAGTGTACCGCCCTTGACGCCAAAACAGGAAAATTGGCGATAGTTAGAAGGGAGCCATAATACCTTTTCTGTTGCAATGGTAACCCAGTCACCCTCTACAGATAGTGCGAAGCTCGACATTTGGTCCTCCGCGAAGAAGGCCTCCGCGCTAACAGAGTCCGAATAGCCCTCCAGGGTGCGCAGCAGCTGACCGGTCTTGGCATCCCAGAACTTGACTGTCTCGTCATCCGAGCCGGAGGCGACTGTTTGGCCGTCCGGGGAGAAGGCCACCGAACTAACCCGGTCAGAATGGCCCTCCAGGGTACGTAGTAGCTGGCCGGTCTTAGTATCCCAGAGTTTAATAGTCCTATCAGAGGAGCCGGAGGCAAATATCTGACTATCTGGGGAGAAAGTTATTGAATTAACGCGGGAAGAATGGCCCTCTAGGGTCCGCAGCTGCTGACCGGTTTGGGTATCCCAGACCTTAATAGTCACGTCACGGGAGCCAGAGGCGACTGTTTGGCCGTCCGGAGAGAGGGCTACCGAACTAACCCGGTCAGAGTGGCCTTCCAGGGTGTGTAGCTGCTGACCGGTCTTAGAATCCCAGAGCTTAATAGTCTTGTCACGGGAGCCAGAGGCGACTATCTGGCCATTATGGGAGACGGCTACCGAGCTAACACAGTTGGAGTGACCCTCTAATGCACGCAGCTGCTGACCGGTCTTAGTGTCCCAGAGCTTAATAGTCTTATCACGAGAGCCAGAGGCAACTGTCTGGCCATCCGGGGATAAGGCTACCGAGTTAACCCAGTCAGAGTGACCCTCTAGGGTGCGTAGCTGCTGGCCGGTTTCGGCGTTCCAAAGCCGGATACTCTTATCATAGGAGCCAGAGGCGACTATCGGGTCGGCTGTGGAGAAGGCCACCGATCGAACTAAGTCAGAATGACCCTGTAGGGTGCGTAGCTGCTGACCGGTCTTGGCGTCCCAGATTTTAATAGTCTCATCACAGGAGCCAGAGGCAACTGTGTGGCCGTCCGAGGAGAAGACCACCGAGTTGACCCAGTGAGAATGATCCTCGAGGATGTGCAGTAGCTGACCGGTCTTAGCGTCCCAGAGCTTGATCGTCTCGTCATCTGAGCTAGAGGCGACTGTTTGGCTATCCTTGGAGAAGGCCACTGAACTAACCCGGTCAGAATGGCCCTCTATGGTGCGTAGTAGTTGACCAGTCTTAGTATTCCAGAGTTTAATAGTCTTATCAGAGGAGCCAGAGGCGATTGTTCGGCCATCGGGGGAGAAGACTACCGAGCAAATCGAGTCAGAATGGCCCTTTAAAGTATATAGCTGCTGACCGACTGTGGCGTCCCAGAGTTTAATGGTCTTGTCACGGGAGCCAGAGGCGATTATCTGGCTATCCGGGGAGAAGGTCACTGAATTAACCCAGTGAGAATGGCCCTTTAATGTACGCAGCTGCTGGCCGGTCTGGGCATCCCAGAGTTTAATGGTCTTGTCACGGGAGCCGGAGACGACTGTCTGACCGTCCGGGGAGAAGGCCACTGAGTAAATCGAGTCAGAATGGCCCTCTAGGGTTTGCATCTCTGCGCTCCATAACCTTTCAATTTGTGGTAAGATATGTATCCATCTTTGGCTTTCTTGAAACACCTTCCTTATTATACTGCATGTAGGTACAAAGGCAAGTCCAGAGCAGTATAACTGAAGCGGGTAATTGTTGCAAATATAACTGTTTTTGAGAACAAAACGCTTCGCATCATCCAAGAATAATAAAAGCTCGGTAGAGAAGTCGCTCTATATTATTAAGATTAGTCATTGCTTCATAAATAATCATACAGGCTTACCCTTGTGATTGACTGCAGCATGCTTATTACATTGACAACCTCCGATACCAAACCTATCAAGCTCATCGCCTCTATCCAGTGAAGAAAGTGCTTTTTCAAAAATAAAAGCACTTCTGCTTCATGTACCTGACTTCTGCCATGCTCGAGATGATACACCCAATAGCGGCAAGAGTATTGCAGCTCTACCGGGAGACACTTGTTAATAATTTGACTGTCGATTTCTACACGTTGTGTTCCATAACTTGGTAGACCGCAGATGTTGTGTTTGAGGTTGAGCTTCATGACGCGAAGACAATGTAATGCAATCTGTCGATGCGTTTTCTTCTCATCAACATGGAAGACACTCTCTGTGTGAAGAAGAAATTCACGGAATGACAAGTGCAGGGTGCGAATTGGTGCATCCGTGATATTCTCCGGAACACTGAGAACTGAACGTAATTTATCTAATAGGTGGCGGATATCGTCCTCCGGTAAAGAAAGTAGCTTTCCAAGCGTATGGATTCTGAGAGGGGAAGCCAGAAGAATGATAACGCCAACTATCTCACGAAACTCTCTCAAAATCTCCTTTGAATCCTCTATATCTTGGGGATTGAGAAGTTGCTCCAGCACTGGCTGGTAAATCCTCTCCATGTGGGACGCTGGTGCGACTGCCCTAGACTGGAGAAGGGCTGCCAGACGCTTTTCCGGACGCTGCTTTCCATCACCGATAAAGCGACATAGAGTGGCAGCAAAGATAAAGAGAGGAACGGACTTAGATACTAAGATATCCATGATATCCTCCCCTGGCCAGCCAGGAGACAAAGAATGTTCCTTCCGTATTTTCCCCAGTCGCTCTTGGAGGAATAGCTGTATGTCACATTTAATCACTGAATTGGGAAGCTCGTGAAGCACCAAGTCCTGATGTTCCTGAATTTGCTGAAAGCCAAGCCGAATGGGGAGCTCAGGTCTGCTTGTCAAGAAGATCTGCAGACGCAGATATTTAGACTTTTGCATCTGCGGCAAAAGCTGAAGTAGAACTCTAATATCCGCCTCTTGTTCACACTCATCTAATGCGTCAATCACAATCACCGTCGAAATAGGCTCATTTAATTCCAACTTTAGTAGTGGTTGGAGAAGAAGTTTGTCAAATTGTTGACTAAGAGCTTTTGAGGAAATATCTGGATCGTTATCAATTGCAGCCATAATATCTGGTGCTAGCTGGCGATGACAGCAGATCAATTGTTTGGTAACTGTTGATATAAATCTTTTTGCATTGCCCCGATCCGCTTCTCCCTTTTTGAAGAAGAAGCTTGCTCCTAGTAGTCCCTTCTCTTTAAACAATTGAGCGACTGTTCTAGCGATGGTGGACTTTCCCGTTCCTGCCATTCCGTTTAACCAAAATATACGTCTGCTATCCGGTGACTCACCCCACTCTGCAACTTGGTGAAGAAGCTCAGTGCGGGTTTTTGGAAGGCATCTGTCTTCATGTTGATTATCATAGGAGTCATACAAGGCTCCTTCTGCAGTAGGTAAACTGAACTTCTGGATAAGATTTTGAAGAGACCCTATCATTTCGTCACACAGGGTCAAAAGATGTTCCGCTTCTTTATTGTGGCGCAAATACTGATCCCACTGAACCCATTGATGCAGATATCGCTCTGCTTCCTTAACAGAGGATTGAAACTCTACAAGGCGTTGCTTAGTGATTGCAGTGACACTGTCCTGTATCCTTCTTCCTGTACTATATTCCTGAGTAGTCAAGACCTCTGCTGCGTACTGAAGGATTCTTTTATAGACACCGATAATTGCGCGTCCTATTTCGGCTCTTTCTTTAGAGTTGTTGCGATAGATCTTTTTCTCAACATAGGCGCATCGGGTAAGGACATCTGCCAAATACTCTGATGATCCAAACAAAGCATCGCGCAGTTCCAAGCGGTTTTTGGCCATCTATAGTTCAAATTACTTATTAAATTTGCCCATCTATTAATTCACGTCCCCGATGTCTTACCGTCAAACCGAGTGATACAACAGCCCACGCGCTTGCGGCATGGTGAGTAGGATCATAAGCTACCACGGCGCCAATAATGTCTTTGAAGGATAATGCCGCATCAATTATATTGCGCGAAAGTTTTCGAAGATCAATATACTCGCCCGTTGATCTCTGGATCTTTAAACCCCCATTCTGATAACTTTCATATTGTTGCTTGGTTCTCTCGATCACCTTCTCAATCATGAGCTCTGTCTGGGAACATCCATTCTCATTGCTTTCTGAATGGGTAGAGATGGCCAAAGTCGATAAGATTTGCTGTTCCTTTTGGTCTAGTTGATCATACGCGGATTGCCATAAGTCTTGCAGATGAAGGGCTTCCTGTGCCTGGTTTATGCTATCCTGGCTGGATGCTGAGGTCTGAGACGTGGGGCCATCTTGAATTCCCGCTTTCTCAGGTTCGGACGTGCTGGGTCCGTGGAGAAAACGAGATTTCCAGTTTTTCCCCCACTCTTTTATCTCCTGGCGCATCTTGATAGTAGTTTTAAGAGATCTGATTATTTGATGGCCTTAATCAGCTTTTTACTGAGGTGTCAGTCTTAGAGGAAGAACGAGAAGTCCTGCTCCATTGTTTTGGTCGTTCTGCCCTGAGGTGTTGGGGGCTGAAGGACCAAGATATGGCCACTAATCATCGACCAATCAGATGCATACAAAGACGAAAGGTAATATCCACACCGATCTAGAGAGTTTCTTCAACTCCAGGAAAAGCCAAGCGGTCATTGGGTTTGGGACTTTGACCGAGAATCAACAATTAGCAAGGGAAGATATATATATATATATATACAAGGGATAGGGTCTCTAGAATACTTGGGCACATAAATCTACTGTATTAGTACAAGGTGTCCGGATAATGGTGTCACGTCACTGCTTGTACTTCCTATCCTGCAAAGAGGGAGAAGGCAGAGGGCCACCTCTACGACGTGGTTCACACTCAGCGCTCTTTTAAGATACCGCAAAGCGAAAACCACAATCCGAGCGGTGACGGTGAGAACCTAAAAACGTAGGCTCACCGCGCGAGATAGCATCGAGGCAAGAAGGGCACCGCGGCGAACGGCGTTGGTATAGCACCCGAGCACTACAACGCTGATAGTAAGAATAATCATCCATATTCAAAGCAGATAGAAGTATAAGTGGGAGAAACGTACAGCTAGAGTAGTGTAGGCTTCTGTACAGGCGCAAGTCAAGCCCGCGAACTAAGCGAAGAAAAAAGTAAATCAAGCCAATATAGCGAGGAACGCGGCGGTCAAGCAAGTGAGATATTGCAAACATCGCGTAGAACGCGAAACCTACAGTATTGAGCGAGACGGCTCGGGGAGATTAGCCGTAATCGGAAACCACGGAGAAACATACTAAAATAGCACGGAAAACACGGCTTAGCAAATCCTACACAACAATCATACCTACCTGAACCATTAACCACGCCTCAGAGTCTCAAAAGACAACGAAATGGACACTCGGGAACGGAGCTTTCGGATAATGTCAGGCATTATCCATGATCTACTAAGGCATATCACCTTTCCAGAAGAGGAGCCATTAGATATAAGGGAAAGACTGCAAGAATGGCAGGAAGCCACAATGCCGACACAGAGAGTGAATGTCAGATCACCCAGAGGAGAGGCCACCGAGGCACAAGACCTATCGGAGATAGAGATCAGCGAAATGACACCGAGTTGGCCGGTGTCAAGCAGGGAGGCAAGCCCCGTGGAGTCGTCAACCAAAGGGCACCGAAGCCCAGTGCAGTCGCCAACCAGAGAACAACCAAGCAGCAGGAGGATATGTATACGGTGCCTAAAAGGTTGGAGGATGTATGTGCAAGCAGAAGAGGAGATACCGGAATGTACATTCGCCAAAGGCAACGGACGCTACAAATGCGACGACTGCTCACGAAAGCGAGTATCCTGTGACATCGTAAGTCAATAAAGCAACCAAGTAATAAGATACTAATATGAGTAGGTACCACAACGGCTAACTGCAAAGATCATGGCACGGAAGCAAGAGATGGAGGAGCTGGAGAAGGAAAGCAGAGACAGTATGGAGAGTAGGGAGGCGCGACAAAGATTCAATGAGGCATACACGCAAACTATACGGGAGCTACAGAACCCAAGGCAAGCTGCCGAGAGGCTGAAAAGGGAAAACAGAAGACACCTCAGGGAGAGATCAAAGGAGAACACACCGGAGGAACCGAAAACGACTAGGGAAGGAGAGAAGGCCAATGAAGGGAACGGTGGAGACAATATCGAGAAACCACAGGTGACGCACAAAGCGATGTATATAGTAACATCGGCAGAATAGTAAAAGTGGTTGGAGTGACACCGGCATGGACCTCTCGGTTCCACCGAGAGATAACGATATCAAATACTACCTGCATACGCACAGGAAGGTGTTGTTCCTGCGCATGTCTTTCAGGGATCCACCTGGAAACTATATCTAATAGAGAAGGCAGAGAACTCGGTTAACTGTACTCCGTAGTTAACCGGACTTTGGTTTTACTAGCTTAATCAACTATAAGAATATTACATTAAGGCAATTTCCAGGTTCTATTAGGCCGTCAAAGGCACTGAGCCTTTGATCAGGGCTTCCTTCAAACTATCTCCAGACACCATAGTGGGTGCCCTAGAGCGAACGTAGTGAGAGGAAGGGATAAAGCCAACGAGCCCGCAAGGACGTACGCAAAAAGAGATTGCAGCGATCACGCGCTCGTTTGATTCGTTCCTAGTAATTCCTTTTCCGGGCAAGTATCATCTTGGATTCCTCTTCTCCGGGGAAGGTCTTGTTTTAGATTAGGGTCCTAGGGTTCTATCTACAGGTCCACTTATTATTGCGCAACCAATAGTTTACCATAGCTCTAGTCGCGGAGCCCATCATACTTTTCCAACCACCGCCTACTTCAAAGACGGGCAGTGCTGGGTCAACTTCCCCACACTAACTCTCAACCCTCAGGTGTCCATCACGGGACGCATCTTCGGAGTTACCAAAGAAAGCCAACAATTGGGAAGAATCACTGATGACGTACATTTTCTACCAACATTGACTCAACCTATACCACCGAGCCTTTTGTCCTGCAACTGGCAAGCGAAAACAACCAGACCGATAGATGCTACGAGCTACTCCCGGCACTCCATCAAAGTCAGCTCGCTTAGTTGACACTGATCCAATCCCTTTTCATCACAACGACTTCCCTCCACGATCCCAAGGCAGTTTCCAGGAAGAGGCGTTCACAGACGCGGGGGACGATAAAGACAACTCAGGTAACAGGGATGGTGACAGCGGATGAAGTGGAATCATCCTTCCAAACAAACTCACCAGCGGCCGACCTTCGGAAAAACTTCCCGTCCGTGGCCACTAAACCTCTTCTATCGACTTAATCCACTATCCCAATCCACATGAAGGAATGTACCGAACTTAATGATCCCCCGTTCCTTGGGTTTCCAAGCTGCCTCGTCCCTACTTTTACCTTCTCGGCTCTAGCACTATGTTTATTTTGAGTTTACTTCAACAATGTCTCCGTTCTCGAATTGGAGTCGTTAACTAAAAATATCTTGGTACTTGTCAATCTTATCTCAACCTTTATTCCCATATTATATATAAGTTACTTGGCTTAATTCATTTGGTTGTAGTAATTTTGTTGTACGAATATATTCCTTTGGGGGACACCTTGGCAATTTCCTTTACTGCATTAGAAGCATTAAATTCTGTTGAACACATTATGAGAGATGTCAGCTACGAGGCTGCTAGAGCGGCTAGTTCGAGTCTGTGATTGGCGAACTTGGACAAGGCTGTGAGCTGTCTAGTAAAGGACAAATCAGCCCCATTTCACAAAAGACCCCAACACCTCGCCCGGCGCCGTCGTAATTTTTGATCATCTTCACAGAATCGAGAGCCTTCGCCGACTTGGAATTCCCAGATCCTTAAGGTAAACTTCAAAATACCTGAATATGCGTCCCAAAAGCCGATCCGGTTTCGCTGTAGCTATAATATGCGCGCTGCCTATCGAGGCGGACGCGGTTGAGGCTCTTTTCGACGAAACCTACGACCGATTGGGCAAGTTTTATGGTAAACAGCCCGGGGATGCGAATGCATACATTAATGGAAGGATTGGGGAGCATGATATTGTTCTGTGCTATTTACCGGGGATGGGAATTGGCAGCGCAGCCAGTGTGGCTTCGAGCCTCCGAGTCAGCTACACGGGAGTCCGACTGGCACTGGTGGTTGGCATCTGCGGTGGAGCACCCTACTCATCAAGTGATCAAAATATCTTTCTGGGCGATGTCATCGTGAGTGATGCTGTGGTCGAATACGATTTTGGCAGACAATATCCGGGTGGTTTCCAGCGAAAGACAGATGTCAAGGATATTCTGGGACGACCCGAGCGAGCAATTCGGACCCTCCTGGCTGGCTTGAAAGGAAAGAAAACGCGAATAGAATTTCAAGACCAGATGTATCAGCATCTTGGCATAATTCAGCAATCAGAGACGCAATGGCAGCACCCGAGATATGAGGATATCCTCTATCAGGCTTCGTACCACCACAAACACTACAGTCGGGGTTCAACTGATAATTGTTGCTGCTTTGATAGTGGTAATACGGAGAATATTTGCAGCGAGGCATTGGAGGAAAGTTGCAAGAAGCTAGGGTGTGATGAGAAAAAAATCAGTCGTCGCCGGGATGGCACGGAAGCAGTCAAAGCATCCGTGCATATTGGGAAAGTGGCATCTGCCAATACAGTAATGAAGTCTGGGGAGCACCGCGACAAGATAATCAAAGCAGAGAGCGTCATTGGTTTTGAAATGGAGGGAGCTGGGGTGTGGGATAACATCTCATGCATCATTATTAAGGGGGTATGTGACTATGCAGACAGCCACAAAAGTAAATACTGGCAAGCGTATGCGGCGGCAACAGGCGCTTCAGCTGCCAAAACGTTCTTAGAGTACTGGACACCTACTCACAGAGAAGGTTAGAAGATATATCCTAATCAAATTTTATTATGCTAAGCATATTTCTTTGCAGAGAGAAAACGCCATTGGATGGTCCCATTCAGGAAAAACCCACAATTTGTGGGTCGGCACGACGAGATTCTTAAACTTGAACAATGGATTACACACCAGAGTGGTCCCAGCAAGGTCGGTGTCTGTGGACTAGGGGGGGTTGGGAAGACTCAGGTAGCACTGGAGCTTGCCTACCGTATCCGAGAAAGAGATTCCGAATGCTCAATTTTCTGGGTCCCATGTTTCAGTTATGAAAGTGTCGAACAAGCTTATACAAGCATCGCCCAGACACTAGGGATCGAGGATATGAAACCAGCTGAGGCAAAGGACCGAGTGAAGGCTTACTTCAGTCATGAAGATGCTGGGGAATGGCTTCTTATTTTCGACAACGCTGATGATATTAATATGTGGATGCAGGGCAGTGATACTCATCCAGCACTTAAGGACTTCCTTCCTCAAAGTGAGCATGGCCATATTATTTTCACTACACGGAATCGGAAGCTAGCGGTGAAACTTGCATCTTCCTATGTGATTTCAATACCTGATCAGGATCGAGATACTGCCATGAAGATTTTGGAAAAGTCCTTGCCTAAAAATCACTTCCAAGGCGAAAGCAATACGGCGACGATACTTCTTGAACACCTTGCCTTTCTCCCACTAGCTATTATCCAGGCAGCAGCATATATCAACGAGAACAGCATGCGACTGAAAGATTACATTGACCTTCTCCAAGAACAGGAGGCTGATGTGGTAGAGTTGCTCAGTGCGGACTTTGAGGATGAAGGGCGATATAAGGATATCCAGAATCCAGTGGCTACCACATGGTGGATATCATTCCAGCAAATCCAGCACCTGGACAACTTAGCAAGTGGTTATTTATCACTTATGGCCTGCATCAATCCACGGGACATTCCTCAGTCATTTCTCCCCCGGCTAGCGTCTAAGAAGAAGGTAAACGATGCTGTTGGTCTTCTTAAGGCTTACTCATTTGTTAGCGAACAAGCTGGGGAGGGCCTACTAAGTCTTCATCGACTCGTACACCTTGCAACACGGAATTGGATGAGAAAGGAAAACCAGTTCACACAAAACATATTGAAGGCAATAGACCGCTTAAATGAAGTCTTCCCTGACAACAGCCATGGCAATCGAAAGCTGTGGCAACAGTATCTACCTCATGCGTTGCTAGTAGTAGGAGAAAGTGAGATCCAGCATCGACGGGAGAAATATGTCGACTTGCTTCAGAATGTTGGGTATTGCCTGTGGAGCGATGGGAGATATAACGAAGCAGAAGAGCTAGAGGTACAAGTAATAGAGACTCGCAAGCAGGTGCTGGGCCCAGAGCATCCGGATACTCTGACCAGCATGGCCGACCTGGCATTAACGTATCAGTATCAGGGACAATGGAAGATAGCAGAAAAGCTAGGGGTGCAAGTAATGGAGACTCGCAAGCAGGTGCTGGGCCTAGAGCATCCAGATACTCTGACCAGTATAGCCAATCTGGCATTAACATATCGGGATCAAGGACGATGGAACGAAGCAGAAGAGCTACAGACAGAGGAATTAAATATATGTTCAAAGGTACTGGGTCCAGAGCATCCAGATACTCTGACCAGTATAGCCAACCTGGCATCAATATATCGGAATCAAGGACGATGGAAGGAAGCAGGAGAGCTAGAGGTACAAGTAATGGAGACTCGCAAGCAGGTGCTGGGTCCAGAGCATCCAGATACTCTGACCAGTATGTCCAACCTGGCATCAATATACTGGAATCAGGGACGATGGAAGGAAGCAGAAGAGCTACAGACAGAGGAATTAAATATATGTCCAAAGGTACTGGGTCCAGAGCATCCGAATACTCTGACCAGCATAGCCAACCTGGCATTAACATATTGGAGTCAGGGACGATGGAAAGAAGCAGAAGAACTCGAGATACAAGTAATGGAGACTCGCAAGCGGGTGCTGGGGCCAGAGCATCCGGATACTCTGACCAGTACGCATAACCTTGCCTATACCTGGGAATCCCTAGGAAAACTCAATGATGCCTTGAAGTTGATGGAAGAATGTCTTGAACTTCGCACTAAACTGTTTGGCCCTGATCATCCGGATACTATATCTTCCTCTGAGGCTTTTAGCGATTGGCTACAAGCAAAGGACTCCTCACCAGCTAAGACCCCACTAAGCGCGGCCCAACAGGACAGTGATCAATATTCTCCAAATCTTTTAGGCCACCATCATCTGACTGTGCCTTCCTCTGATCGCCCTAGTGTCGAGCTTGCAAGTGAACCTATTAAACCAAAGCCAGCCTCTGCAAAGCACCAAAAGCGACTCTTTTTCAAACGGATTTTTCAGAGAGGATAACAATTCCACATGACACAGGAAGAGCTTATTATATATCATCACTGTAAATGATTTAGTATATCAGCTTTGACGTATAACTCATGATACCTAATTAATTTGTCATTTGCCCTAAGGTCTTTTACAGTAAAATAGGCTCCATACAGTACTGAAGTGGTTTTTCTAGCTGACCGTCGCACCCGCCTTGGCTTGGCGCCCCTTATGATTGGTTATGATGCAATGGCTCACAATGCGTAGATTAGGGCACCTATGCATGACTCCATCGTATGCATTGTAACAGAACAAAACGACACGCTTACGAGGCCTTCATAAATAGAGATAGACAACTTAAAGCGGTTTCAATTTCGATCATTGTGCTTGCAAGCAGCTTAAGGAGTGACACGATACATATAAACGATGAACTAAAGATCTGGATAACACCCCGCGGGGAAACAATCACGTAGACTTCGGACCCATAACCTTGCACCTCAAGGGCTCTGAACGCTGCCTTTAGACTGGAGCGTTAATAGCGATATGGCCTAGTGCGTCGAATTAGCAACGATAGTGGTATAAACGGCGTGCTTGAGTAGGATACTCACCTCTAGTTGCCCTTCTTGCACATGGCAGCGAATTGGTCAATGTACCCAGGAAGATTCTTGGACCAAAAAGTCTCGTCAGAGATGAGCTGCTTGACCTTCTGGCACTTCTCCGCGGTGAGCTGAGCTACGTTGGATAGCTGGTTCGCTTGCTGCTCCAGGATCGGCTGGGTGGCTCTGGTAACACAGGCATTATAATTAAGCAGTCCTTCCGGGTTGTTGCACAGAGGCCTGTTTCCTTCAGCTGCACAGCTTTGCTGCGCTACTGCGACCAGCTGAGTGCGGAATTGGTTAAGCAACGCCTGCTCATCGGCGGATACACCCAGGTTGTTGTTTACGTCCTGGATGAGTTGCGGGACGATGTTGTTGTGGAGATACTGGTTGTACTCGTTGATTGTGGCAACACACCGGGCCCTCTCACAGACCTGTGCATTAAAGTATTGCATTATTCTGGTGGGCTGCTGACTGAGGGCCTGAGGGATCTCCAAACATGGCGCCGGGAGATTTGGGGGAGCGGCATTACCAACGGAGAAAATGGTAGCAGTGATCAGCAAAGCAGATGAGATGGAGAACTTCATTTTGAAAGTAAGATTTGCTTTATAGCTCAGAAAATAATAAACTAATTGGGATGAAAGACGACGAGGTAATCAACTACAGAGAATGATGATATTGATAATAGCCATGATGACTGGCAATTGCGAGGTTTAAGTACCTTTGAGCCATGGCATAACTGGTATATAGGATGTATAGGGAAAGTGTATTTTCCAGCGATCTGGGGTATCAAATGAATGGTCACCCGGAGAGCTGTTTTACACTGAGTCAGATTTAATAGACGGATTCTAGATACCTTCGTGGAGATAGTCAGCGTACATCCCGGATCCTTTGTCGATCACTTGTCTATCCGAGATGATTTTGTTCACCACCACGACAGGGCCCAGATTCTGGCCACGATATGCCAGGGAAGATATTCGAAGGTTATCCGGCGAGCGAATCCAAGTTTGAGATCGACCGATGCATCTAGGAAATGTCTAGAGAGTCCAATGGTACAGACAGCTACGGAAGTATGTTCACTAGTGTATGCTTGGTATTAAGCCGATAGGGTATTTTACTATACAACTTAGTAGAGAAAACACTTAATACTAAAGATACAGATATCTTAATCGAAAATAAAGTCATTCATGCGTGTAGAATAGCGGCCTTTAATCAAGGTTCTGGTGTTTACAAAGCTTTTCTATCAGACATAGGCCATCCTATTCTGTGCTTTCTAATATCCTTTTTTACACTTATTACTTTTTTCAAGATATGTTTTCCAATAGTACAAAGAGAAGATTGTTGGTTTTAGCGCTATATAGTCTTCTGAGATAGCTTATTCTAAACTTTAAACCAAGTTAGATTTACCAATCTTTCTATTTCCGGGGCTGTCTTATGAGGTTGTACAATGTTTTAATTAAAACTAGACATGCTCGATCATATTAAAATTCGGCAGTTCCCGGGCTAAGCTAGTATTGTTACAGATCTTCTAGTGATCATGTATGATGACTGTGCAGTATACCCTACCCCTCGTGAATAGGTAACTCGGCTGCCGAACGGCAACATCGGAGTCTATATCCACTGACTTTCTAAGAATTTATAGTAGTCTCTCAATCTCTTGAATTCTACTGGATAAATTTAGGACGTTTATAATATAAATTAGTGTTCAGTGGGTAGTAAGAAGAGACGAGAATTAGATTCCTGTCTGCATAGAGTCTGATGTGTACATAACCTGACCTAGAGCACAGGTCCTATACTCTAATCTCATTCTTCCCTCTGCTTTTCGCTCACACTCTTCTGTTTCTCTCCTCCGCTCGGCTTCACGCTTTTGCTCTTACTTGGTCCTTAAGAACAATGCTCTGTCAACCGGAGAGTAATTACTAGTCATCCGTTGAAGAAGCGGCGGGGTAGGACGTAATCAAAGAGGCACCACTCGGATCAATTCAAGGCGAAGAGACGCACTGACAGGGGTTTATTGTACATATTTTGAGCCAGCTGATCATGGAAGTCGGCTAATGTATTCTTTCATTAGAATAAATACAGTCACTGGACTTGCCAAGGCTTTCCAGTAAATCTGAAGTTCGAGCAAATAAGTGGCACTTCCATTGATCCCAACATCTAGAAGCAGGAGGAGTAATCGGGGCCCAGAGGCCTAGTATCCAAAGGCCTTATTGAGGCAACACTGCTGTTTAGGGGTCTAACAACCTAGTCATCGGTTGTCGGATGGCCACGGGGTTGCTTGATGTGCGTAAAACTAAAAGATGTTGAGAAAATTCAACCGAGTCAATCAAAACAATGTCAGTAACACTATAAGACTAAATAGGTTCCTGTATTGTCAGCTGACTGTGGAGAATCCGTTGAAACTTATATGGAGTGAAGTTTTAAAACAATGGCCAGTCTTAAGCGTCACCAGTTACTACATCATGTATGTGCTGTCATGTACGACATATACACTATAATCTGCTGGTTGGCTCAATAGGTGATTGCAGGTGATCGTACGAAACTTCGGAGTGTGTAGAGTGGGGCGTTGGCAAGAGCTGCTCAAGACTATGCAGCGGAAGAAAAAAAATAAAAAAATGTGTTCCTGCCTGAGGAAGGGGCAGTGGTGTTATGCATTATAGTATGTGTTTTTGAGTGGCAGCCTAGTAATACAGTGACGTGCAGGTTCGGCTTTACCTAATTTACACCCTTTGACTCTTTCTCGGCACCACTCCCGTAGCTTAATCTATACTAGGTTTAGACCTTTACAGGGGTAATTTATGACGCGTATGAAACGTGAGTGTACCAGAATCTTGGTATGCTAGACATGGCTTTATACGGTAAATACGCAAATTAATGACCAAGTTGTCAAAGAAAAGATTCCTCGTGGTGGCTAACTACCTACTGATCATAACTAACCAGTTAACTATACAGTATAACTAAATTCATTTGTACGTATGAATAAAATATGTAGCGGTAGAATCTCAAATTCACACCTGTCAATTCGTTTGAATAAGTTTTACCTAAAATGAAGGTTGGCTGTTTCAAAGATTAGTAGTATACTTTCTGCTCCTGTACCAAGATACTTACAACATATATACTGTAGTAATATTGTAAGATTGAGACTAAACTGCACCCACGATGTAATTTGTCCGCTGCCCAGCTTAATGGCGCAGACTATGGAGGCGTCAAATTAATCGATTTCTTGTAAGTCTTGACCTCCTGGCGTGGGTGAGGGTGTTCTGGAGGCTATAAGAAGGGGATGATTTCCAAGATATAGACCTGCAGCAGATAGTCTCTGGGTGTGTGGCAGATTGAGGTACTCTTCATGGGCTGACTGAGCGATCACTACAGCTGCTGTAGACCCCGGTGAAATTTCCTGCAGATGTTGCGAATGTTCTATAGTAGGTGCTGCTGGGGGTGTACGGTTTGCAGATGAATTATACTCGTCTATCCAGTCGCCAAGAGCACGAGAGCAGGATATGGTACCCGGGTGATTAGGCCCTAATACTTTGCTGCGCAATTCAGAACATTTTTTTATTAGAGCCAAGGCATCCTGAAGCTTTTCCTGAAATTTCCAAGTATACGCAAGGTTCGCCATGCTGGTCAGAGTGTCGGGATGCTC